TGGCTGGGTGGAAGCTGTCAAATACTCTCCGCAATGTGACAAATTCACGAGTGGCGGTTTCGACAGTACAATCTGTGTGTGGTCGAAGAGCGGTGAGCTGCTCATAGAGATACAGGGACATGACAACGACGTGTTATCGTTGTGTTGGTCCAAGGACGGCGCCTATATATTCTCCGGGTCAAGTGATAACACCATCCGAAAATGGCGGTCAATTGATGGAGAGGAGCTCGTCGTTCTTCGGGGTCATACCAACACTGTCAGATCCCTGTGTCTGTTACCTGATGAAAGCCATCTTGTCAGCGCATCAATGGACTATTCAGTTTGCATATGGGACCTCAAGACCAATGAGCAAGTCGGAGATCCACTCTTGCACGATAATGAACTGCTCACTGTTGTCATGTCTCCTGATGGAAAACACATCGCTTGTGCTGGATTGAACACAAAGGTCTATGTATGGAGCCTGGAGGCAGCACTCAGACGGCAGAGTGGTGATCAAGTTGCCGTGCGTATGCGCATTGTTGTTGTTAATGTCTTTCTAACGGACATCGGGTCTCGTCACCAGAGTGACGTAAACGCAAGGCAAGTTATCTCTGTCTCTCTTCCACATTGGATGTGAGCTCTTTTTCAGGGACGCGCAGTTCCGTCTAAAGACGTGCGCCAATCAGTTGTGGAGACACTGGTCTTTCGCTTATTTATCTTGGCAGATGTGCGTTATCCCTCGCATACCTAGACAGAAGGCCAAGAGCGGCTTGGCTAGATATGTGGGTCTAATCATGTCTTTCTCCAGCTAAGCTTGCTCGCTTAGCATTGATACAGGGTGAAGATTTCTGGGCAATCAATGATACAAGTCCGTCAGCTCCGCTCGCGGGCCCAACGCGTCCCCTTCATTGGCGTAGTTTTTTCAATTCCCTGCGCTTCAGCACCCAGCCTGAAAAAGTGCCACAATCAATACCGCTCGAGCCCCGGCGTTGGAATTTCAGCCTGTTTCCTGGAGGAAGGTCTATACGCACCGTCGATGTAGCACCCGGTCGCAAGAAAAATGTAAGTGGCTCAGCACCGCTCCTTTTGATACCATTTAAATAAATATGTATGCAGAGAATTGCCATTGCCCCTCCCACCGCTGCAGAATTGGCCAGAGCAGAATTGGCTGCAGCCACGCAACATGCGAGTGAGAACGAAGCGGCCAGTTCACCGCAACAAGGTCAACCTGCGCCAGGAACACAAGCGTCTCAAGGACGACCGATAGAAACAAATGCAGCTGTTCAACATATAAGCAGCAACGGGCCTAGCGGTTCAATGCAACAAGGTCAACCTGCTCCAGTGACACAAGTGTCTCAAGGACGACTGACAGAAACGCATGACTCAAGCGGCAGGACGGGAGAAGTTTCCTATGGAGTTAGGTGCTGTGGATTGTTCTTTAGTTGTGGTCGTCCCACCTCGCATCAATCGTGAGGTCATTTGTTGACATTCTCGATAAATCTCGCTCTTGCCTCTTGCGGGCGTTTACGGACTATTATCGCACTTAGTCATAGACCTCGTACCGCCCTGCGTGAGCATTGCATTTTGCTTGTCTAGATGCAAGCCATATATATGAACTGCGTCATGGAAGTAGTCAGAAACAACGTGTCAGCTGTCTAGTGGGTGCGTTTGACAGTAATGAGCTAAGAAACAGAACTATCAGGCTGCAGAATAATCAAGCGAGAATTCGATAGTATTCAATGTTAAGGCTGAAGTTGAAGCTTGCTGGATGGTTAAAAGATGTCATTGCGATTCAGAAACGATCGGTGCTAGTTGGCGATTGTCGACTATTGAGCGTGTATATGGGTGGTTGACCGGGAGAAGCTGGGTCTTGAACCTGCGTTGATGTGCTAGGAGTTGTATTACCAGAAATCGACATTTGAGAGGCAATGGTCGAGCCGAACTTGTGTGTAAGTCGCATGCGAACAAAGGCTGTGACAGTATTCGTTTATATCCGCATTCCTGCTGTAAGTATGACAAGTCTGAAAAACACAAGCATAAGCGGTGTCCTAGCATGAATGGGACGACGTTACTCGGTAGCATATATACGGTAGACCAAAGAGGGGAACAGTCCCAATAAGCGTATCAATATCATCGTGACTTAGTCAGGCATTGAACATGGCACCTAGATCATGCCTGTATCGATTGACTCTTCCGTCCTGTACATCCTCCAGCCCTACCAATGCACTAATCCTCTCCTCCGCCCCACACTCAAGAGTACCGAATGCTCGATGCCCCGGTGTTTCGAATGCATCAGCATCATCGTTGCAGTCTGCTCGTATCTTTGCGTGCAGACCAAAACATGAAGTATACAAAAGACATCATTCGCACGTTGGCTCATGCGCATCGAGGAACAAATACTCACAAAAACCGCAATGACCTCACTCGTAAACCCATCGAAGGACTAGTGCGATGCGGGTTGACGACGAACAAGATAATAAAATCCACAACATCCTATCAGGTATGACTCTGATGATTCCGAAGCAGAACTTTGCCCCTGAGCGGTGTGTGTTGATTGTGTTTGAGATCCTTGTGTCCCCGCTACAGCTTGATCTTGTGCTGTTGAACTGTCGACAGTGTTGACCCTCGTACGTTGCATAGCTGCGGCGGCTTCTGCGTCAGACTCAGGGACAATACCATATCGCTGCAACATTATTTGTATCAGAGGGGAAAACACTGGTGATGACAAGCGACTTGCATCTTCATCACGGCAAGGTGCAACATCCACGGGACGCCTGGAGAGTCGCACAGGAAATGAGTCAAAGTTCAATCGCCGGGGGTGAAGCTGAATTGGTTGGGGTGAAGCTGCAGGCCGAGTGCTGGAGCGCAGGAATCCGAATAATTTGCGTAGACCAGGCGGAGATGATGTTTCTGCTGAGCGATGAGATGTGGGAATTGTGTCATCGCCGAAGAAACCATTGCCCTGAACAGGTGTCAGGAAGAGCTCAGGAATGATCAAACTAGACTCACATATCTTGCCAAACCTCTATTGTTGCTTTGCCGTCTAGGGGCAAGAGAGATCTGACGAGACAAATGAGCGAAGAATCAGAATGCTCGCAAATTACTCACGTCTCTAGGCCGAGCTGCACGTCCCTGTTAAAGAAGTCAGATGAGGTATGAAAGAGGAGACGGGTGACTCGCCTTGAGCTTAGCGTTGGGATCCGCATCGTCCTGAGCGACACATAAGATCACTTAGAAAAGATCCTGATGAAAGTGATGTATACACGCACGTCAACACCACAAGCACGCTTAAGTGCGGCTTCCAGACTCCATACATAGATTTTTGCGTTGGGTCCAACGATAGCACTGGCAAAGTATTGTCCATCAGAGGACATGGCAACAACTAAGACTTGGTCGTCGTGCCAGAGTGGGTCTCCAAGTTGCTGATTTGTTTTGAGGTCCCAGATGCGAACTGCGTAGTCTTCTGATGCACTGACAAGATGGCATCCATCGGGAGACAGACAAATGGATGTAACGATGGTGGTATGACCCTGAAAAACGACGAGTTCTTCCCCGTCGATCGATTGCCATTTTCGGATGGTCCGATCAAATGAGGCAGAGAAGATGTATGCGCCATCCTTGGACCAACATAATGATGTCACCGATTTTTCATGTCCCTTTATCTCGATCAGCAGCTCGCCGTCCTTTGACCACACCCGGATCATTTTGTCATCACCGCCGCTCGCGCATTTGTCGCCTTGTGGAGAGTATTTGACTGTCCGCACAAGTTCATCGCTTCCATTTATCGGTTGTGCAATTTGTCTGCCAGTGGCCGGGTTCCATCGTCGTATAGTGCCGTCTTCCAATCCACCTGCAACCTCTACCCCATTCGGAGACCAATCAAGGCACCACACTCCAACATTATTCCCCTCCCACGGGTTACCGACCACGCTCCCCTCCTTTATATTCCACAGCGTTACTCTGCCATTTAAGCATCCACATACGACTATTGTTTCATCCAGGGACATCGCGATCGCGCCTACTTTGTTTCCGTCACCATTGAAAGGCTTTTCTACTGGCTTTCCATCTCTTGTCCACTGGTGAATCGAACCACCCCCCGACGTACTCACGATGTTGCTACTGGTGCCCAACCAGGCAAGGGTGTCGTTGAACATGTTGTCACATTCGATGATGCCCTCTGGCATCAAACTTCCTGGTAGACGCTCTGGCGTTGGCTTCTTCCACGATGTGGTCCGAGTGTTGTGGTTGACGAAGTAGGACCGACCGTGCGGTGTGATGTGCCATTCGCATCCAGGAATGAGCACCTCCCAGGTGCCATCTATGCTCGGTCCTGAGTTCCTCGCTCTCATCGCACTTTCGTTGCTCACCTAGTCGCACTCCTGGTAAAGGTCGGTGTGGTATAAACATGTAGAGTACGTCGTCGTAATAATATGGACCATCATCATTATGGGACTCTGTCCACATAGGAGGGAGCGCATCATTTCCTCCTGCTTGATGTTGAGTCGGTCAATTGGTTCCACAACGTGATTACTCACCTTCCCAAAGTGCATCCTGGCGGTGCTGTGCTCCATAGGGTGGCAGAGTCTCTGAGCCCTTCACGGGCGAAACAGGTCCTGATGAATCTGACATCATTCCTCGATCTGCCCCTCTCCATTCCACTGGCGTGCTTGGCTCGGTCTTTTCGTGCAGCATGACTACTATTGGGGATGTTGGTGATGGTGGACGTAGTGGAGAAACCTGCTAGATATGCTGTTTCGCATGCTGTACTTGCAGGCGCCTTGCTTAGGTGATAACCTGTGCCTCGTAGGGCGTCAGTTCTAAAATTGAACGATCGCTGCCCCCGGGGCCCTTTACTTATCCTCATGTTCTCAAGACGCTCGGAGACCGTGTACATTGTACAATGTCACTGAGTGACTAAATCTGATCAAACAATATACTATGTAATTGATAGACGCTCGGAATACGGAAACGATTACGGCAATATCTATATACACCCCTAGAACACCAAACAATCCCCTTCACACGCACATCACTTCACATCAGATGGCATCACCAATCCACCTCACCCACTATTCTCATCCTCCAGCCCATCCAACGCACCCATCACATCCTCCGTCAAATCCACCACTTCCTCGATCTACAGCTCAAGTGCACCAAGCCCTCCATGCAGGTAACTCCGCAAGACACTCCACACCATTCACACTCTCAGCGTAGTGAATCAGCATTCCTTGCCGTTCAGACTGCATATTCCTGCGATGTAATACCCGACCTAAAGCTTAAGTCATCGTTCGATTTACATTCTTACTGCTTTACCGGGGGCGCCATCTAGAGACGTGCGTCATTCGGCCGCGAATACCTGATCTTTTGTTCATTCATCTCGTTATATTTGATCGTCCTGTGTTGAAAGGGCAGGCCAACAATAGAGTTTTGGAGGCCTTGGTCACCTTTTGGGGCGGTAATATAAACCACAGGCTTTTTGCTTACTACTTAACTGCGGACTGCAATCACACTTCATATCGGCGCACCCGGAGAGGCACACTTCCAGCCTCAGCACTCCCAACCACCCTCATTCTTGGTATAGTCCCAAAATTCTCCACAATCTGCACCCCAGGGCCATCCGCCATCTCAAATACAAAGTTTCGCACAAGAACGAACAGCACGGCCTGGGACGAGACCAACACCAGTCAAAACGAATCAAAACCAATATTCTTGCGCAACTGCGTACCTTGAACTCTGTCAATGCGAATAGCCTCCCTAGGCACATCCGCGCACCATCGCCGAATGTCATGAGATGGCGATAGCCATGCAATGCTTCTCTGGCCCCACGCGGGTCTTTGTCCTCTTCGAGCCACCGAGAAGGTTTGAACTCCTTTGCGTCAGGCCCCCACATGCTAACTGAGCAATTGAGTGCGGCGAACGGGATAACGACCTCTGTCCCCTTTGGGATGCATACGCTGTCGGTATAGGTACCGTCCGCCGTACGCATGGGTTCACTGAGTGGGATTACGTCGTCTTCCATAGCCTTGCCATAGTCAGTTCAAGTGAGTTGCGTTGAATGTCAGTCGGAAACGCACCGATCGTGGGATTTCTTTGACTGATGTGTGGAGGCGAAGAACTTCATGCACTACAGCGTCCAGGTAGGGAAGCTTATTCGTGAGGTCGTCGTAAGAAGGGGTTGCCCCGAAGTCTAGACACTCTTCACGAAGCTTGGTCTGCATGTCTGGATTCCTCGCAAGTTCTATCAAAGCCCACTGTGAAGTTGAGAAACGTGGTTGAAGCAGTGAGCGATTCGAAGCTTACTGTCATGCTGGCTGGTGAATGCAAGGAATGGTGAGTGTGCGGTTCTTTTGCTAGACAATTGTACGTTACCTGAAGTAGTCTCAAAGCCGGCGAGAAGTATGACCCTTGCCTGGCGAAGACGGAAATCAGTGTCGCATAGCTCAGGAGACTGCTATGGTTCGTATACCTCGTCTAACACTTCTTGGTGAGTCAGTCCAGTGCTCTCACCAGATCTTTCCGCTTTTACTACACAACAATTGTAGCATTTGCAATTTAGGAAACCAAGGGCAGAACTCACAGAGTAAACCCAAACATGATTTGTCCCCCTGCTCAGCACCGCCAGTCTCGTTTTCCTTGCGCGTCCGCGATAGCATCTCGTGGCATATCTTACCAACAATGAGGCTCAGCTTTTTGGCGAACTGTGTGCGAGGCCATGGCAGTTTCAGGATGGAAGGAAAATTTTGTGCCAGGATGACCAAGTTGTGGGAAGCATTGGGAGATGAGCCAAACGCATTCAGGACGTGTGCGACGTCGGAGTCATTTCCATCGAGTGCACCGAAGTCATGGGACAGGACGGCTATGCCTACACTGTCAAGTCTACGTGGCGGGTGCTGGATGAGACAGCAGCCTGGTGAAGAGCAATAAATATACTTACGAGATGTGATTCATCCTGTACAATGAATGTCTGAGTGCGCGGGTAGGAAAATTTTAGGGAGAAAGCAAATACCATTGTTGAGCATCAATTACAGCGGAATGAGTTCCTTGGTTCGCTCCTATCTCAGCGTCCCAAGCGGTCGTTGCCTGTGACCTATTTCGAGTACAGTGACGGGCGAACGATTAGTGACTGACCTTGTGAGCAGCATCTAGGAAAACAGACGTCAGGCTGCGGATGGCAGCTGCGCTGAAGGCAGGGTTGAGAGCCTTGCGCTGCCTGATGAATGACAAAGAATGGCTCGGATTTAGTTCGGCACCACTTGAAGGTTATAGTCCGACCTTTTGTGACTTTCACCATCGGCCCACAGAATCCCACGTCCAATCTGTCAATCGCAGAAGCTCATCATTACCATATAGCTGTACAAGGAGGTAAAGGGACATACAGTTATGCGAACGGCGATCTTGTTGAATGGAGTTTGGTTATACAACCACGTGTCTCTTGCAAAGAAATGAGCGATTGCTTTTGGGTCCCATAGTATGACCCTGGACTCTCCCAAGGCGAGGGGGACCTTGTACACTGGACCGTACTCTGTGGCCCAACGTTCGTACAGGTTAGTGGTGAGGTTAGAATCTAACACTGTCCTGGCGAAGCCAAACACCCAGCTTGGGCTCTGAGGTCCTCGTATGCGTGTCGTTCGTTGACTTCGGCGATACACTTGTAGGAGATAAAGTGACGCCAGTATCAGAACTGAGACACGTGTCGTTGACCCTGGTAGGGGCCAGAGATCCTTCAAGGCAAGCCAAATGTCCCCGCCGCAGTGCTTGCTCTGCGACAAACCCATGGTTGTGAGCAAGGAGCATGATGGGCCAATAACCGAGAACTAAGCAAAATGGGAAAATGTGATGCCCGAGGATTATACCCGTGATGCCGACCTATCTGCCACTGGCATCAGGGTCCATCAGTACAGCTGGCAACGGCAAGCGCTCACGGAGCCTATCCTAATACTCTCATGGATGATGATGCATTGCATGAGAGAGGAAACATGACGTTCCACTGAGAGATCAGAGTCGCAGATATTTTCTGACCTCGAGTAGCTTGGTCGTTGGCCAGAGGTCGTTCGAGTCACAGTTGGCCCGAACAAAATAAACACCGCCTCAGAGAGTTCGCACGTGTGTTGTCACTTTCAGGCACGTTTTGAGCCCAACCACTTTCTGACTTCCATCACAAGCTTTCACCCGGTACCCAATTGCAATCGCATACATGTATCATGTCCTGGCATTTTTGGTATTGCACAATAATGGGACAAGCTACATACTCGACCAGCCATTTGATCAGGAGGATCCCGTATAGAGTATGCAACCAAACGTGTTGCAGCAGCCAGCCCAAGGTATCAAGCTACCGCATCCCTGTCCCGACTACTACCCAGAATATCGACACTTGACGTTCTTGCGTGGGTCTACCTCCAGGGTTCCTCACACAAAATCAGCAATAAATGTTGTGACTTGCACGTCCAATTTCAAAGTGTGCTTTTCAAACATTCCGTTTTGCATGCTAATAAGTGATTCTCAGTCAGACGCCGTTTCTATATCGCGTGTCTTGACGATCTAGCCAGTCTTTGGTTTAATGACAGGAGAGATCGACGAGCATTAATGGTCAATTTTTCATTATCCATGCTAATGATACATACGACGATTGCTCGAACAGACGCCGGAATGTGCTGATTTCATTAATTATTGCTCTGGGACGAGGGGTGCGTGTCAGAGTTGATTCCTCTGTGTCGGTGCCCGAGACTCGATACAATCTCTTTCACAAGGATCAAACTTACTCCGGAGCTCGACGATACGATGACGTTTTGCGAATGGCACTAGTGAGACGGGGCCGATTGTTGGAGCCATGATACAGACTACACACGCCGTCGGGCACTACGCTCGCGGCCGATTATCTACCCTTCGTGGTCGCAGTCTGTTCAGCTTCCTGCGGTACTTGGCGAAGGAATTTCAACTCTTTCCCCGCAAAACCCCCAAGCCATGCTGCTCCCTGTCGTAATGGAAACACGAGTCGCTCTTCACAAGTATGAACCCCTCTTTGTTCTCACTAGTTAAATTAACTGTAGAGATAGGGCATTGCCCATCCAGGCCCGTCCTCGTGCAAACACTGCCACAGATATGCAAGCCACATACGTCTCAAGTCTATATGCACGGCGGCCTAACACAAACACAAGGCTCACCTTCCGCCATCTAGATGTATTCGATTTTGCGCGGCTCATCGACAAGCCTGTAGTTTTGATCCTTGAAGAGAAACAAACGACTTTCTTTCGATGATATTGGAAACAGCTGATACATCCGGTCATCGTGGGATTACATCATGTTGGTACTGTTATTCCATTTTATACTGTTTGGCTGCATGTATATGTATATAACCCAATCGGCAACGAGCCGCCGGAAATGCGTGCTTCCGTGTTTCAGATATGCACTGCTCCCACCATCAGCGCCAGAACCTATCAGAAGTCTTATTTCATCACATCAAAAATGGCAGTGCGCTGTGCTTATTCTGGGATATATAGTACAGTGGACCTACTGGTGGCCGATATCAGCAAGCGACAATGTCTTCCTCGGCACAGGACGCTATTCCACAACTCGATCTGGGAAATACGTTTGGGGCACTTTTTATTGGGGTTGTCCTTTCAGCAGTGTTAGTAAACTATTTGCTCGTTGTGCAGTCAAAGCTGAGCGCTTCATGTGACCAATCGTCGTAACATATCTTATGGAACAGTCTCTTTGGTCTAACCAACATTCAAGCTTTCATCTACTTGCAGACGCATAGAAGCGCGGGGATAACATTTTTCAAGCTGTTTGTACGTCCATGCCGCCTTATTATTGGTTCTGGTCTTGATACCACTTCTGGCAGGTTATCTGGCTTTGGTAGGTGTCCCTTCGATTTACTTATCGATCACATGGGGATCTCATCGTTTCCCGAACTTTTAGGATATTTGATGCTCTGCACCTGGCCTTGATAACCCATAGCGTCTATTATTATTTGGTGACCAACTATGCAAATTTTGGTGTGCTGACGGAGATTGTATGGAGTCTCAAAGTGAGCTTCAACCTTATCCCTATATGCAGCCCCTGATAGCCTGGGACAGCTTCAGTTAGCAATCGGCGTGAGTTGTGTTTTCTGTACTCTATAATCCGCCTCTGACAGACATGCGCTGTACAGATTTTCATCATTCCGATGGTACATCTGTAAGTTCGATAACTGTTACTGCAACACCCAAATCACGTCCTGGCCCACAGTTTGTATGTTCATCGCATATGGAAAGGTGATTATTCTCCTACTATCATGACTTTGCTACATCTCCTTCAATAAAACTAGTAAGCAAGGGGCGATCAAGGGTTCTCCCGACCGTAGCATTGGTGAGTTTGCAATTAGGGTACGATTGCATTTCGCTTTGTTGATTCACTATTAGGTCATAGTTGTGGTCCTAAGTTCAGGTGAGTCTATCGCCTGCAAATGTTCTGCGCTCTATCTTGAAACTCTCTACAGGTGTTGCCATTCGTGAGATTTCAATGGTACTCTTGTTAGTGGCTCATCATCTGACCTGACCCAATAACAGCCCTTATTTGGGCGCAGTGAGTCAAGCAACTCCCTAACTTGATACCGTGCTGATAGCGGGTAGATATAAAGTCAAGTTATTCAAGGATTTAATTGAAATGCAATGGTCGATATTCCTGTCTTTGGGAGCTGCCACTTTTGTCGACATCCTAATCGCATCATCGCTATGGTATCTTCTTGCTACTTCACGCACTGGGTTCTCTAGGTACGGGGCAATTCGTTCTCAACCTGAATCTGATTAGCTAACGGAGATTACTTAGCACTGATTCCTTCATAACAAAACTTGTGAATTATACGATTAGTACCGGCTGTCTGACGAGGTATTCCTTATTCCAGCATACCCATAGTACCTTGACTAATATTTTGACAGTATATGCTCGACGTCAATCATAATTACAGTGAGGTCACACCCATCGTATTTTCTACATACGAGGTCTCTGAGGGTTGTCTGTAGTGCGCTGTGATGCCGACGAACTTCATCTTCATCGGTCTTCAATTTTTGGTGACCAATTGTATGTCCAGAAAACATTCTTCCATGATCATGCTGACTTGCGGTACGGCTTCAAGTGTATGTTAATTCATTCATCGCACTCCTGAATGCGCGACACTACATGCAGGCCAACACGATTGTCGATTCTCACGAACTTAATGGGCGCCACGTTGTCTATCGCCCGGAACTCCCCATTAGCGCGTCGCAAGACGAGGAGCTTCAGCCATCCCAGAAGGACTCTCAGGATGGAGTGCTACATATTACACGACCTATCCAGGCTTCCATGGTTGGTGGTTGCGTCATTGTTGATGGAAAGGGGCTAATTGACACACTTTAGCCACAGTCGCCGACATCGGGGATGGAGATGAAATCATGTTCGTTAGTGTGACGGAGAAATTTATAGGCATAGGTTATTATTTATGTTTTATCAACATATAAGACTCACAAAAATTACGAGTTCATAATAATTATTACCCAAGGATGTACATTTGCAATAGTGGAGAGAATTTCATGGACTAGGACAATGGGAGTCGCGGAACAACGAAGGTTTCACAACAAACAAACTACATTCAATGGCACTTTGAGTACTGTTTTCTTGCGATACTGAGGCAGACGGCCTTTCGTAGTTGAAGGACCTCAAAGAGTGCGGAGACTAGCTCACTCAAACCATGAAACGGCGACAAATTGTACGGTTCTGTCCATCATACATACATAATCAAGCAAGCTTCGCTGATCTGAGCCACAATCTCAGTCGAGACTCGTTTCCGCAGATCCTATTCTGGAGTTTCCCCCCTCATAATATCATATTCAGCCCCACAGCGGAGAAAGAACGTATCTGTTCCTTGTATTTGAACTGCATATGAAGACAGGGGTTGACGTCTGGGTTCACCCTCGGACGGATCTGAACAACTCATTGCCAATTTCACAGGTACGACGTTATAGCAAGTGGGGCTTTTCGTGATGTACGGAGGGAAGGCACTGTCCCATGATCGTATGGGCGCAACTTGTCCCCCTGGTGGTCTATATAAGCATGTCGTCGAGTCTAGAGATACCAGTAAGCCTCGTCCTACATCAAATCACACAATTACAACAAACTTCAGGCCTCAATGTCTGCCCATGCCAACGTAGGTTTCAATGGCGATACATTCATCCACCTCGTCAACTTAGTAGACACACATAGGAAAACGTATCCAAGAAAGATCTCAAGGAGGCGAAGCAGTACTTGGAGAATATAGACCCGGCAAAAGTTGAAAAGGTATTTGGAAAGGGGAAGTACACACCTTGGCACGGCGACGGAAAGTCTCAGTCCAAAACAAATATCACGTTTCAGACCAAGTCGATCGAGACGACGAGTGGAATACCTGCAAAGTATGTCACTATTGTCGCACGGAAGGGGCAGTCGGAGGCATATGTGACATACGAGTCGGCTACTTGGACTGAGACTACCAAGACCATCATCGACAAGATGATCGAAGCTATCAAGGTCTAGGTGAATGCTCCAACTTCGCCGCAAACATCACAGATGCTAATAGAACAAGGATGATGGACAGACAACAGGAGATAACAGGATATGAAGAGCGAATGGGTCAGTGAGCGTGTACGATATTATGTTCAGAGTCTTGCCACGTACTTGTCTGCCATAATTATTCGCCAATCTCTTCTTCTTCTTCTTCCCTATTTTGGCCATCTTCGGAGAACTGCTCCTCAAATATGCTCAAGTCAAACGTAGACTTCTCTATGGAGCTGCGGTAGACGTCCGGACCGACAATTGATGTAGCGCTCCGAACGTCCTGTTTGTACCACATTGAATCGTCATGATGTCTCACGTATCCCCTCGGCACGATCGACCGAAGCTGTCCACCCACCCGTGATGATCTCATGGAACTCGAGATAATACAGCGCATGCGCGAACAATCAGGATTATAGTCACCATGTCTGTCATGGTTCTTCTGCGCATAACATACACCAAAGTGCTGGGGGAGGTAATACTGCCTGGTCATGCCAGCCGTTCAAATAGGCCATATCAACTTGATCGTTTTCGCCCCGGAAGACCTTTGGCCACTTGAGAGTATCATTGAACGAAGTCCAGCACTGCGGCAACGGCTGGACTTCATTTGGTGACTCATGCGGGATAGTATTCCGGTCCTCATCGGGGATCCCCGATCTCTCACAGGGATCGTCTCCGGTCGAATGCAAGTCGTCAGGGAACTTGGCGATGGGTATGAGATGGAGAATCTGTGCGCCGCCCAAGTCTATGAGCCCCACGATCTTTGTGTCGTTAATCGGATCAAAAATATGTTGCAGAATGCGAGGTCGGGACGGCATAAGACTAAGGGAAGTAAGACAATGGAGGTACGAAGTGAGGTATGAGCGAGGAGAGAAGTTGAAAGAGTTCAGAAAACTTTTTGGGGGTGCATCCGGGTGCTGAGAGGGATCAGGAAAGTTGGTCCTTCTCAAGCTTGGACCATTCCTTCATAGCGTGCAAGATCTAGATCTCATGCTCCAGTCGGGTCCTCCAGATATCCATGACGGATTGATATGGTCCCCAAACTTGAAGGTTCCGCTGTGTGACGGTGAGGAGTGGTCATACGGTAGGGATTCTTTCGTCGTTGAGGGTAATGCTGCCAATCTTGTCGAACAGTAAGGGTGCAGACAAAGTAGATTGTAGCTTTGCCAGAGTTTTTATGACGGCTAGTTGCTGCACTTCTGACATACCATCCAGACCACGAAGGTTATTGTTATCGAGGGTGAGATTGTCGAGCTTTCGTCCGTGGGCGATGTCCATGAGAACATAAGGTTCACCAGCTGGATTAGAAAATGAAACATCCCAAGCATGAACTTGTGGGATCAAGATATCTGGATACGAGCCGGACGCGCGAACAAATTGCATGGTGGCTATCTCAGACAGCTTCGCCCTTGACCCGAACAGCCTGAGCGTCACGGTACAGCAAAAATCACCTGACCAGCCTGGGCAGGCCCGGTGTTTGTGTCAATGTTTGCTTTCTGACTCTCAGTCTTCCGAATGTTCTCTGAGTATCGTGGTTGTTACCTGTTCGCGAAGGGTGATAGTGAAATGTTCAAACTCAAAGAATGAGTGGAAGGATGAAAGAATCGAATCGTCCATGATGAGTCCAAGCCTGGTACTGACTTGGCATTCAGGGTTCCGGCATAGCACACAAATCAGGGTATGTACTGGCACACCATCATTAATGTAGATTCCAGCGCTGACACTGTCGCTATGCCTCACAGTACAGGATCACCGCAAATTGCATCTATCAAATGGCAATGCATTCATCTCATGTCAGAGCATATAATGGTACGACAAATCCACTTCGTTGCCAACAGAATTGGCTCAGCCAGCAATGTCTTCCTCAACGCAGGATCTCTTCCCACAAGTTGACCTTGGGAACACGTTTGGGGCATTTTTTATTGCGGTCACCCTTGCAGCAATGTTAGTAAACTATTTCCTCACTACGCATTTATAAACTCTGAGCGCTTACCGCCGTAACCGTGAATGTCATATCTGGCGGAACAGTCTCTTTGGTCTTACCAACGTTCAAGCCTTCATCTACTTTCAAACTCATACAGGGACGGGTATAATATCATATAAGCTGATCGTACGTTTGTGCTGCCTTGTTGTCAACTCAGTGATTCAATGGTACTACCAATCAGGTCATCTGGCTTTGGTAAGTGTCCTTTTGGGTTGCAATTTCCGAGGGACATCAATTTTACAACTGTGTTCTGATCTTGCAGGATACTCGATGCTCTGCATCTGTCATTGATCGTCCATTGCGTCTACCATTATTTAGTGATCAACTACGCCAACTTCAGTGCGCTCACAGAAATAGTGTGGAGTTTCAAAGTGAGTTGCTAGTTTGGGCCTTTGCACATCCATTACTAGCAGCGATGGGCTCGCAGCTTCAAGTGATAGTCGACGTAAGTCGTAAGCACTACGCTCTGTAATCCGCTCCTAACACACATTTCACAGGTTCTCATCGTTCCTACGATACATCTGTAAGCGCGATTTCCACCATTGCATTCAAGAATCCAGTGATGCTGACTTTGACCATAGTTCGTACCTTCATCGCATATGGATATGTAATTTTTTCCCATCATGGATTTTCGCTATGCCTGATGTCATGATCCTAGTCAGCAAGGGCAGAACAAGAGTTCTCCCGGCTATAGCATTCGTGGGTTTGCAATTGGTGTTCAATGTCGTTTCATTTTGTTGATCCACTATCAGGGTATAATTGTGGTTCTATGTTCAGGTGAGCCAGTCACCCGGAAATACTCTTCACTTGATCTTAAAACAATCTTGTTAGGTGTTGCCATTCGTGAGATCTTGAAAATTCAATCGTATCATCATGGTTGACTCATCATTACACTCTATCACAGCCGTTGTCTGGGGCATGTGAGTGAGACGCCTACATTTCTTCATACATACGCTGAGAGCGAATAGATATAAGTGCCATACGTTCGGGGATTTGATCGGAATCGAGTGGTGGACATATGCGGCTGTGGGCTCGTCTACTTTGGCCGATATCGTCATCGCGTCATCGCTGTGCTATCTCCTCGTTACTTCACACACTGGATTTTCTAGGTACGGAGTAATTTGGAGTGATATGTTCACTGTCTGGATCTGATATGCTAATTTCGATTACTTAGCACCGATTCACTCTTAACAAAGCTCGTGGGTTATACCATTAGTACGGGATCTCTAACGAGGTATTCGACTCTCCGGCCTGCGTCATAGTACCATGACTTACATTTTTGCAGTGTATGTTCAATTGCAGTCGTTATCACAGTAAGGTCCTGCCTGTTGTACTATCAAATGTCTCTGATGGTCGCCGACAGTGCGCGACGCTACCAAAGACCTTCATCTTTCTCGCTGTTGATTTCCTAGTGGCTAAATGTATGAACAATGGATTCTTCGAGGATTATGCTAACAAGTTGTACCGTTCAAGTATATGTCAACTCGTTCATCGTACTCTTGAACGCGCGATACTACATGCAGGCCAGCGTAGACATCGCCAATCCTTCTGAATTTCATATGCGTCGCGGCGTCTGCCGCTCAGAGCTGCCCATTAACAGATCGCAAGACACGGAACTTCAAGCATCCCGGAAGGATTATGACGACGAAGTGCTACATATCACGCACCCTATTCAGGATTTCGCGGTTAGTAGTTGTGGTATTACTGATGGAGGAGGGCTGATTGACACGCTTTAACCATAGCCGCCGACGGCATTGACGTTGGAGACAAAATCATTCTCGTTAGCGTGATGGATTGATAGACATATATTATTACCTGTCTATTTCTCACGAGACAGCGCTCGCAAAATCAATTGTGAGTTCTTGGTCACTTATTATATCATGCTGCCCGCATTATTTGAGGGGACGAGAGGAATCAGTCCACTACGCCTTATGCATGCCTGGTTACACTAGACGAGATGGTCATTCGTTAACGAGATTGGACCTGGCGAATATTATCTCAAGAACTTACTGACTGCAGCACATCACATCGCGCAACCCAAAAACCGAGGCCATGGTATGGAAAACAGAGGGTCTGACCCTGTTTACTTAGCACCTATGCTCAAAATGTAATGCATAAATCGAGGTCAACGAGTGTCCGCATCCGAGACGCGATGATGAACCGGCGAGCTACACCAATCAGGACACCGGTGTACCATCCTTCTTCCACCATGGATACTGCCTCACTGCGCAAGATGTCCTTCCACCATCACCATCATCCATCAGCAAAGATGATCACAGCGCCAATGGCAATGCATGTCACTCATTTTGGGACATATAATACGTGGTACGGTGGATCCCCTTTGTTACTGGCAAGGTTGGCCTGCCAGCGATGTCTTCCTCGACGCCTGACCTCATCCCGCAAGTTGACCTCGGGAACACATTTGGCGCACTTTTTATTGGTGTTGTCCTTGCAGCAATGTAAGTAAACTATCTCCTCACTGTGAAGCCAAACGAGCTGATACTTGCCGTCGTAACTGTGACATATCTAAACAGTCTCTTTGGTTTAACCAACGTTCAAACTTTTATCTACTTTCAGACGAGTAGGGGCACAGGAATCACATTGTATAAGTTGGCTGTACGTCTATGCTGCCTTGTTTTCAGTTCAATGATTGACGTTACGTCAGGTTGTTTGGCTTTGGTAGGTTCTCTTCGAGTTGCAATTACGGAGCACGCCGATTCTAAACTGTGTTTGACCACGCAGGACACTCGAAGCTCTACATCTCGCCTTGAACATCCATTTTGTCTCTTTTTATTTAGTGACCAACTACGCGAACTTTAGTGCGCTCACAGAAATTGTATGGAGTTTCAAAGTGAGTTCCTGCTTCGGCTCTCTGTGCGGCTTCTACTTGTACTTATTGATGTGCTCGTAGCTCGAGGTGATAGTCAACGTAAGTCACATCTTCGACGTTCTATGAAACTTAGCCCTGGATGCTAATCCCGCAGGTTCTCATTGTTCCTGTGGTACATCTGTACGTCCAGTGTGAATTGTATTATGCGAAACTCGAGTGATACTGACTTGATCCATAGTTTGTATGCCCACCGCATATGGATATGTAATTGCTTCTCGATCATAGTGTTGCGTGGTGCCTAACGAGATGAACCTAGTGAGCAGAGGCCGAACAAGAGTGCTCCCGGCCATAGCATTGGTCAGTTTGCAACCAGTATTCGATGTTATTTCTCTGTTGATAGACTACCAGGTTGTAATCGTGGTCCTATGTTCAGGTGAGTCTGCTCCTGGGAATGATTGCCACTTGATTTAAAAAAAATATCTTCAGGTGTTGCCATCCGTGAGATCTCGAGACTTCAATCGTACTCTTGTTATTGGCTCATCATTCACTATTACAGCCATTATTCTTGCAACGTGAGTGAGAGGGCTCTCTTACTTCACACAAACGCTGACAGCGAGTAGATATAGGTGCCATTTGTTCGCCGATTTGAATGGAATCGAGTGGTGGCTATATGCGGCTGTGGGCTCCACTACTTTTCTCGATATCATCATTGCGTCGTCTCTATGCTATCTCCTGGCTACTTCCCATACAGGATTTTCTAAGTAAGGAATAGTCTATTCACTGTCTGGATCTGATATGTTCAATCGAGTCGCTTAGGACCGATTCATTCTTAACAAAGCTCGTGGGTTATACCATCAGTACAGGTTGTTTAACGAGGTATTTGACTTTCCAGCCTACCCCACACCTTGACTGACGTTTTTGGAGTGTATGTTCAATTGCAGTTGTCATTACGGTGAGGTCCCAACTGTTTTACTGGCCATTCCCGAAGTCTCTGACGGGTGACCAACAGTGTGCAGTGCTGCCAAAGACCTTCATCTTTCTTGTTCTAGAATTTTTAGTGGCTGAATGTACGCACAAAGCAGAATTTTATGCGAAGATCGCGCTAACGTGTGGTACTTTTTCTAGTATATGTGAATTCGTTCATCGCGCTTCTGAACACGCGATACTACGGGCACACCAACGCAGACATCGTTGATCCTTCCGAATTTCATGTGCGCCGCAGCGTCTACCGCCCGGAGCTTCAGGTATCCCGGAAGGATTCCGACAATGAAGTGCTGCATATCACTTGCCCTACCCAGGCTGTCGTGGTCGGCAGTTGCGTCACTGTTGATGGATGTGCTGAATGACACGTTTTAGCCACAGCCGCCAACAGGAAGTCTTGTGACGGTTTAGTATTGGTGGATCAATACTTTCCCTTTCTTCACGAGATAGGACTTGCAGATAACTATAAATTTATGAGTTTGCAGGGCTACCTAAGAAAACTATTTATACCTACCCAATATTTTCCGGGAAGTTGCTTGAAGTTGGGCGATACATGGAAGAATCTCCCAGCGGATTGCGAGCTTGGGAGCTCATAGTTAGGACCCAAGCCTCATTGATCATCTTCCGACTTCATCCGAGGTCTAGGCATCTATTCTGAGAAAGACCATCTGATATAATTAGCAGCGATAGACGCCAGTTGATCTATAAGAACAACTCGAGCTTGATTTAGCACAATCATAGTGTTTTCTTAACGCCCGCCGCACGATCGGTGCCACGGACGTGGAGGATGGTCCAGACGATCTTCTCCTGCTGATAAGTTCGCGCGTTCTAAGAGGTTATGAGCCTCCAGGTGACTATTAAGCTGCACGCTGCTGCGCGACATGGCTATGGAATCGGACCGGTGGCTTATGCAGAGGACTGACTAACAAGATTACAATCGCTTTGTCAGCGACTCGCCATCGAGCTCGCAATTGTGATTGCAATGGACTCAGTCGGCAAGTAAAATCTCTTTGCCGAGGTACGTACGTACGTATAAAGTCTTCTCTTATCTTGCTTACCTCCATACTCCCGCACATTTATCTCCCACAACAGCTTTACCCCACATAGTCGATACCCAAGTGCGATATGACCATTTCCATCAGCGATCACGCAAACGGGCATGCAAATGGTGTCAAGCGTCACTCAAAGCGCTCATCTGAGCTCGGTTTTTCTACGCGAGCTATTCATATAGGCTCAGAGCCAGACCCCACAACCGGCGCTGTCATTCCTCCCATATCCCTCAGCACGACGTACAAGCAGGATGAAGTAGGCGTGCACAAGGTTTGTGTTTTAGTTTGTTCCACATGTCGTAGCATACTCATGTTGTTGTTCTGGTGGATAGGGCTTTGAATATTCTCGTTCTGGCAATCCAAATCGCGATGCATTAGAGCGCACACTTGTAGGCCTGGAGGCAGGCGCGGGACATGCTATTGCGTTTGCTTCTGGCAGTGCGACCACAGCGACCATCTTGCAGTCTCTAGGTCCAAACTCACACGTCTTAAGTGTGAATGATGTCTACGGTGGTACGTTCAGGTACCTCACGAGGGTTGCGAAGGAAACTATGGGTACCGAGACGACGTTTGTCGACTTGGAGAATGCAACAGACGATGAAATACTAGGTGCTATGAAGGAGAATACCAAGGTTTGTATCTCAGCATTCGTATTTAGCCTGCTACTCACACGAACATTTTAGCTTATCTGGATCGAATCACCAACAAATCCCACACTCCGACTAATTGACATTCCGCGCATAGTAGCTCTCGCTCGCCAGGCTCCATCAAAGCCTCTCGTTCTCGTCGATAATACCTTCCTCTCGCCATTCTATGCCTCCCCACTCTTGCAGGGCGCTGACATTGTTATACACTCCCTCACCAAATATATCAATGGTCATTCTGACGTCATAATGGGCGCCGCCATCCTTCCCTCCTTATCCACACCAGACAGAGACTACGACGACCTCGTCCAAAAGCTCCGATTCCTCCAAAATGCGCACGGTGCCGTCCCGAGTGCATTTGATTGTTGGCTCGCCCAACGCGGCGCCAAAACTCTCGCAGTACGCATGAAAGCCCACGGTTTGAATGCACTCCGTGTGGCTTCCTTCCTAACTTCGCACCCCGCGGTCGAGCATGTCATCTACCCCGGTCTCGCCTCTCACCCACTACACGCCCTGGCACGCGCCTCCCTCAGCCCACACACAGAGCAGTTCCTTAGCACCATACCATCATCGAGCCTGGTGCACGGTATACCCTACGGCGGAATGGTCTCGTTCCGCGTACGTGGTGGTGCAAGAAGTGCAGAAGCACTCCTCCCGAGGCTGAAGTTGTTCACGCTCGCTGAGAGTTTGGGTGGTGTGGAGAGTCTTGCGGAATTACCTGCCCGTATGACACATGCGAGTATCCCGCCGGCGGAGCGTGAGGCTTTGGGTATTGAGGGTTTGGTGCGCTTGAGCTGCGGGATTGAGGAAGCGGAGGATTTGGTGGAAGATTTGAGGGGTGCGTTGGATGAGCTGGAGGATGTGGATAGTGGGTTCGGGAGCGGATCGGTGACGCCGTCCGATGTGAGTGATGATGCGCCTGGTGGTGCGAATGGGCTGCATTGATTTTGGACTCGTGTTTTGGAGATGGATATAGATATTACCGTAATCGTTTCTGTATTTCGAGTGTTTATTAGATGGTGTATTAGTTTATCAGATATAGTTGTTCATTGTTCATTGTACAATAAATCCATAATCTCCAAACATCTCAAAAACATAGAATTATCTATGTTAAAAACTGACGCCTACGAAGCACATGTTATGACCTAAGCAAGGCGCCTGCAAGTACAGCATGCAAAACAGCATATATGAGGGGTCTCTCCATTACGTCCACCATCACCAACATCCCCAATCGTGGTCATGCTGCACAAAAAGACCAAGCCAAACACGCCAGCGAAAGGGACAGGGACAGATGGAGGACTGATGTCAGATTCATCAGGACCTGTTTCGCCCGTGCCAGTGAAGCGCTCGGAGATTCTGCCACCCTATGGAGCACAGCACCGTCAGGATGCACTTTGGGAAGGTGAGTAATTGCGATGTGAAACCAATTGACCGACTCAACATCAAGCAGGAGGGAATGAGGCGCTCCCTCCTATGTGGACAGAGTCGAAGTCGGATCTGGATGACGAACCAATTTATTTCGATGACATACTCTTCATGCCTACATCATACCGGCCTGTACCGGGAGTGCGACTAGGTAAGCGAAAAAAGTGTGATGAGTGCGGGGAACTCATGGTCGAGCATAGATTACCCCGGGCAGCTCTTTCCTGGATGCGAGTGGCACATCTCAGCATTCGGTCGGTCCTACTTCGTCAACCACAACACTCGGACCACATCGTGGAAGAAGCCAACGCCAGAGCGTCTACCAGGAAGTTTGATGCCAGAGGGCATCATCGAATGTGACAACATGTTCAACGACACCCTTGCCTGGTTGGGCACCAGTAGCAACATCATAAGTACATCGAAGGATGGTTCAATTCACCAGTGGACAAGAGATGGAAAGCCAGTAGAAAAGCCTTTCAATGGTGACGGAAACAAAGTAGGCGCGATCGCGATGTCCCTGGATGAAACAATAGTCGTATGTGGATGCTTAAATGGCAGAGTAACGCTGTGGAATATAAAGGAGGGGAGCGTGGTCGGTAACCCGTGGGAGGGGAATAATGTTGGAGTGTGGTGCCTTGATTGGTCTCCGAATGGGTTGGAGGTTGCAGGTGGATTGGAAGACGGCACTATACGACGATGGAACCCGGCCACTGGCAGACAAATTGCACCGCTGATAAAGAGAAGTCATGAACTTGTGCGGACAGTCAAATACTCTCCACAAGGCGACAAACTCGCGAGCGGCGGTCAGGACAAAATGATCCGGGTGTGGTCAAAGGACGGCGAGCTGCTGATCGAGATAAATGGACATGAAAAGTCGGTGTCATCGTTATGTTGGTCCAAGGATGGCGCATACATCTTCTCTGCCTCATTTGACCGCACCATCCGAAAATGGCAATCGATTGACGGGGAAGAACTCATCGTTTTTCAGGGTCATACCAACTCTGTTCAATCCATTTGTCTGTCTCCCGATGGATGCCATCTTGTCAGTGCATCATTTGACTACTCAGTTCGCATATGGGACCTCAAAACAAATCAGCAACTTGGAGACCCACTCTGGCACGACGATCCTATCTCGATTGTTGCCATGTCCTCTGATGGACAATACTTTGCCAGTGCTATCATTGGACTCAATGCAAACATCTATGTATGGAGTCTGGAAGTAGCACTCAAGCGTGCTCGTGATGTTGACGTGCGTGTATGCATCCCTTTCATCAGAATCATTTCTAAGCGGTGTTGTGTCTCGGTTAGCGCAATGCAGAGCCCAACGCGAAGCTCAAGGCGAGTCATTTTTCTTCTATTTCGTACCTCATCTGACTTCTTCAATAGGGACGTGCAGCTCGGCCTAGAGACGTGAGCTAGTCAATTTCTAATAACCTGATTATTCGCTCATTTATCTCATCAGATATCCCTCGTGTCTAGACGACAAACCAACAATAGAGGCTTGTCAAGATATGTCAGTCCAGTTTGATAATTCCTCAATTCTTTCTATCCTGACGCCTGTTCAGGGCAATGATTTCTTCGCCGATGACACGAACCACACTCCTCATCATTCAGCAAAGACATCATCTCCGCCTGGTCTACGCAATTTATTCGGCTTCCTGCGCTCTAGTACCCGACCTACAAATTCGCCCCAACCGATTCAGCTTCATCCCTGGCGATTGAATTTCAGCTCATTTCCTGTGAGAATCTCCAGGCGTCCTGTCGATGTTGCTCCTTGCCGTGATGAAGATGTAAGTCGCTGTTCGCCACCAGTGTTTTCCCCACTGTGATACAAACCATTTTGCAGAGATATGGCATTGTCCCTGAGTCTGACGCAGAAGCTGCCGCAGCTATGCAACGAACGAGCACCAACAATGTCAACAGCTCGACAGCACAAGAACACGGTGCAACGGGGACACAAGTATATCCAGGACGACCAACACACACTGCTCAAGGGCAAGGTTCTGCTTCCGAATCACCAGAGCCATATCTGGTAGGATGCTGTGGATTTTATCTTGTTCGTCGTCGTCCCGCATCGCATTAGTCCTTCGATTGGTCTACGAGGGAGGCTGCGGTCATCTTTAGGAGTAATTATGCATCGACGTGCATCAGCCAATACAACATGTAACACTGATGCCTCCTTACTTCATACTGTGGTCTAGGTGCCATATTCATGCGCAATGATATTGATACTGTTATTGGGACTGTTTCCCTTCTTTAGTCTACCATCTGTATACTTTCTAGTCACATTATCTCCTCATGATGGGATACTACTTATGTTTATGTTTTCAGACTCGGAATACGTACGGCAGGCATACGCAGATAAACGGACCGAGCCCGGACTTTGTTCGCCTGCGACTTGCACACAACAACTCGATCGTCGCCTCTTGAATTTTAATTTCTCGTCACACAATCCGCACTGGCACCATGTCAACGCAAGCTTAATCTAAAGGTCTCCCAGTCTCACAGTCAATGACTCGATGAAGCTCAACAGTTGACTTGCGCCCACTGGCTCCACTCGTTTCTGTTTCCTTAACCATCCAGCACGCTTCCCGAAATAGCATTGGATGGTTTGGATCCGATTACATCCACACATTCATCATGATTCATTTGATATCAAGCAGCTCTTGAAACGCCTCTTAGATTATTCCACAGCCCGATCATGCTGTCGCCTATCTCATTACTATCAAAACACACTCATTGGACAGCTGACACGTCATTTCTGTGACTTGAGCCTTTTCAGAACTTGCCACCCGGCCCCAAATGATTCAAGAGACAGCTTGGACTTTGATCCTTCGATTAACCTCTTCCAACATCGAGGTGTGTCGTATCTCTCATTATGGCCCATACGATTTCTGACGAACCCGATTAGTATTTCCTCGAGCATTCCAAGATCAATCTGGCCAGTTATATCCCAATTCGACGTTAATGAGCCAGGCTCAGTGTCAGTGTTTCCTATTATTCACCCTTACTCTCTGACCTTAAGTATTGGCAGTTCCAACCTCCTGGTGATCCCCGATCATACGACGGAACTTGAGCAAAACTGTCTCAGGTCGTAACTTAGCAGACACCTATGTATAGGACAACGTATCCAAGACAGATGACAAGGAGGCGAAGGAGTATTTAGAGGATATAGACCCGAAAAAAGTTGAAAAAGGTATTTGGAAATGGGAAGCACATCACTTGGCACGGCGACGGAAAGTCAGTCCAAAACGAATATCACGTTCCAGACCAAGTCGGTGGATTCGACGAGTGGAACACCTGCAGAGTATGTCAGCGTAAGGGAAAGCCGGAGACATGTGACATGCGAGTCGTCTACTTGGACTAAGAAGACCATCATCGACGAGATGATCCAAACTATCAAGGTCTGTGAATGCTCCAACTTCGTCGAAAACGTCGCAGATACTAATAGAACAAGGATGATGGACAGACAACAGGAAGTAACGAGATATGAAGAGCGAATAGTTCAGTTGGCGTTTACGATATTCCGTGATGTATAATTATTCGCCCATCTCATCATCATCTTCCATGTCTTGGCGAACTGTTTCTCGATTATGCTCAAGTCACACCGACTTCTCCATGGAGCTACGGTAGATGTTTGGACCGACGATCAGCAGCGCTCCGACCATGTCGTTTTACTGCATTGAATCGTCAATATGTCTCGCGTATACGCCCGGCATGATCAACCCAAGCAGTCCACCCCGCCCGTGATGATCTCATGGAACTTCAGATCACACAAGCCATCTGTCGAATGGTCCAATGGAAGTGCATTCGTCTCATGAATAGTCTCTTTGGTCTTACCAACATTCAAGCTTTCATCTACTCTCAGACACATAGGGGGAGGGCTATAACACTATAAGATAGCCACGACGTGTACCGTCCGGAGCTGCACGTTGAAAAATCGCAAAACACGGAACTTCAAGTATCCCAAAAGGATTCCGACAATGGAGTGCTACATATCACACACCCTATTCAGGATATCGCGGTTAGTGGTTTTGGTATTGTTCATGGAGGAAGGTTATATGACGCATTTTAACCACAGACGCTAACAGCGTTGGCGTTGGAGATGAAGATATCGATGAAGTCTTTCTCGTTAGTGTGATGGATTGATGGGCATATTATTATCTGTCCATTTCTCACGAGACAAGGCTCACAACATCAGTCGTGAGTTCTTGGTCACTTATACAATATCACGCGGCCTGCATCATTTGAGGGGACGAGAGAAAGCAGTCCACTACGTCATAGCTAATACGTGACTACTAGATGAAACGGTCATTCATTGACGAGATTGGAGCTACACGCGACCCAAAGGCCATGCCAGGGAAAAAGAGGTGCTGACCCCGTTTACTTAGCGCCTATTCTCAAAACGTAACGTGTAAATCGAGACTGACGAGTGCCTGCAACCGAGCGGTGATGGCGAATGGACATCAGTAAGACGGCGGCCGTCAGGTCTCTTACGCCGAGCTATACGAATAAGGACACCTTAGACTGTGTACCATCATTCCACTCCGGATACTGCCTCACTGCACAAGATGTGCTCCCACCATCAGCACCATACATCAGCAAAGATGATTACAGAGCAAATGGCAATGCATGGCCACGCCAACAGGTATACTAGTAGTGGCGTCAAGCGTCACTCAAAGCGCTCATCTAACCTCGGTTTTTCTAAGCTATTCATATGGGTTCAGAGCCAGACCCTACAACCATCGCTGTCATTCATCCCATATGCCTCAGCACGGCGTACAAACAGGATAAAGCAGGTGTGCACAAGGGTCGTGTTTCAGTGTACTCCACATATTGTAACTTACTTATGTTTTAATTTACTTCACGTATCGTGTGAGTGATGACGTGCCTGATGGTGTGAACGGGCTGCATTGATTGTCGACTTTGTTCTGGAGATGTATAGAGATATTACTGTAATCGTTTCTTTTTTTCGAGCACCTATTAGATGCTATACTGTTCTGTCAGATTTAGTGGTTCATTGTGCAATGTACATGGTCAGCAGAACACACCAGGTAACCCCCCCCCCCCCCACGGCAACGATCGTATAAATTTGGAGTTGGCGCCTGCAGGGCACAGGTTAACATTAAGCAAGGCGCCTGCAAATACAGCATGCGGAGCGGCATATATAGTAGGTCTCTCCGTCACGTCCACCATCATCAACATCCCCAATCATGGTCATGCTCCACCCAAAGACCAAGCCAAGCGCGCCAGCGAAAGGGACAGGGTTATATCGAGGAGTTTCTCCCGTGAAGCGTTCGGGAGATCCACCACCCTATGGTGAACAGCACCGCCAGGATGCACGTTGGGAAGGTGAGCAATCACGTCATGGAACCAATTGACCGACTCAACATAAAGCAGGAGGGAATGGGGCGCTCCCTCCTATGTGGAGAGAGGATAAGGGTGGGGACGACCAACCGCGATATTTCGACGACGTACTTTTCATGACTACATCATGCCGGCCTGTACCAGGAGAACGACTAGGTGAGAAATGAAGGTGCGATGAGAGCGAGGAACTCATGGTCGAGCATAGATTACCCCGGGCAGCTCATTCCTGAATGCGAATGGCACATCTCACCACTCGGTTGGTCCTACTTCGTCAACCACAACACTCTGTCCACATCGTGGGAGAAACCAGTACCAGAGCGTCCAGCAGGGAGTTTGATGCCAGAGTGCACCATCAAGTGCAATAACCGGTACAACGACACCCTTGCCTACTTGAACACCAGTGGCAACATCATTAGTACATCGGGCGAGGGCTCAATTCACCAGTGGACAAGAGATGGAAAGCCAGTAGGAAAGCCTTGCGATGGTGATGGAAACCAAGTAACCGCAATGACGACGTCCCCGGATGAAACAATGGTTGTGTGTGGAAGCTTTGACGGTAGAGTACGGCTGTGGAACATAGAGGAGAGGAGCGTAGTCGGTAACCCGTGGGAGGGGACTGATATTAGAGTGAAGTGCCTTGATTGGTCTCCGACTGGGGTGGAGGTGGCAGGTGGCTCGGAATACGGCACTATACGACGATGGAACCCAGCCACAGGTCGACAAATTACACCACTGATAAAGTCCGGTGATGAAAGGCTGGGGGCAGTCAAATACTCTCCAAAGGGCGATAAATTGGCGGGCGGTGGTGACGACAACATTATCCGCGTGTGGTCAAAGGACGGTGAGCTCCTCGTCGAGATAAAGGGGCACGATGACTGGGTGAGGTCGATATGTTGGTCCAAGGATGGCACATACATCTTCTCAGGCTCATATGATCGCACCATCCGAAAATGGCAATCGGTTAACGGGGAAGAAATTGTCGTTTTTCAAGGTCATACTGGCAGCATTAGATCCATCTGTCTGTCTCCCGATGAATCCCATCTTATCAGCGCATCATACGACTACTCAGTTCGCACCTGGGACCTCGAAACCAATCAGCAACTCGGAGACCCACTCTGGCACGACGATCTTGTATTGATTGCTGCCATGTCCTCCGATGGGCAATACTTTACCAGTGCCATCTATGGACCCAATGCAAAAATCTACGTATGGAATCTGGAAGTAGCACTCAAGCGTGCTCGTGGGGTTGACGTGTGTATGCACATTACTTTCCTCAAGCTCTTTTCTAAGTGGTTTTGTGTCTCGGTCAGGGCGATGCAGAGCCAAACGCCGAGCTCAAGGCGAGTCACTTTTCGTCTCATTCATACCTCATCTGACTTTTTTGCTAGGTACCAGCTCGACCTAGACATGTGAGCTAGTTAATTGCTAATAACCTGATTCTTCTCTCATTTATATCACCAGATCTCTCTTGTGCCTAGACAGCAGAACAACAATAGAGGCTTGGCAAGATATGTGAGTCCAGTGTCATTATTCCTGAGCTCTTTCTATCCTCACACTTGATCAGGGCAATGATTTCTTCGGTGATGGCACAAAGAATACTCCTCGTCGCTCAGAAGACACATCATCTCCGCCTGGTCTGCGCAAAATTTTCAGCTTCCTGCGCTCCAGCACTCGACCTTCAGATGCATCACAACAAGCAAATCAACTTCGCCCCCGGCGATTGAATTTTAGCTCATTTCCCGTGAAAATATCTAGGCTTCCCGTCGATGTTGCTCCCTGCCGTGAGGAGGATGTGAGTAGTTCGTCATCGCCAGTATTCTCCCCTTTGTGATACGAATAATTTTGCAGAGATATGGCATCGTCCCTGAGTCTGATGAAGAAGCGGCCACAGCTATGAAATGTACGAGCAGCAACAATGTCGATAGTTCACCAGCCAAAGGACATGTTGCAGTGAGGGTAAATGGGTCACAAGGACGACCAATGCAGACACAAACCTCAACTGGCGAGGCCGAGGAATTTTCCTATGAAGTGAGCTGCTGCGGTTTGCCACTCTTGCGCTTGCGACGTCGCAAACTCGAGGCCGTCTGATTGTTTCTTTTGCTCCAGTTTTTTTTCACCTCTCTCTCTCGCACTTTTCTTATGGACCATCATTATGTCTCAGCTCCAACCACGCACGAGGCTCTTGTTGTCACATGCGAACATTTATTCTGGCTTGTTTATTACATTCATACAACATAGTCTCGTCTGAAGTGTATAACTCGTGGTTCTATCTTCTCCAAGTTGCTGAACCTGCACAAAGCTGAGTAGTTTACTGATGTGCATCGTGAGAGATGTAATATTTGGTACGGAATGGGTGTGGAGTTGGTCATGGTGAGGGAACGGGTACTAGGACATCGTGTTGTGTATTCATTATGGACCACCGTGCCTGCGCTGCTGTAAGATGCTGTAAGATGCTGTACTAAGGGGCTACGGCAGCTGTGGTAAATTTAGGGTTTTGCTGATGGGCTAGGACCAAGAAGCGTTGTGTGAAATAGTTGAACAGATCCACGCCATATGGGATCCATTTAAAAGACTTTGTCAATCAGCGTCATGCTGCACGAAGATGTTGGGTCAGACACACCAGGAAAGCGGACAGAAATGAAACACGGAAAAACTGTCAGATACGGAGTCGCGGACTCGCCAGGACTTGTTGCTACTCTATTGGGCACAGATTATATAGCCACCCTGTGGTATACAGCACTGCCAGGATGTGTTTTGGGAAGGTGAGCAAGCGCATTGTGAAACACGTTGATAGAACAGACTCACATCAGGAACCTATTTTTCAGAATTCTTGGACTGCCCCCCTCCCGCATATATATTCAACCGCACAGTGGGAAAAGAACGAGCATCTTACTTATATTTGGACCGCATAACTAGGCGTCAACGTCTGAGGTCAATCTCAGACGGGTTTTAATAACTTACCGAGTTCACATGTAGTATGAAGTCTCATGATCGTCTGGATGCAAATTATCCCACCTAGTAGACTATATAAGCATGTCTTCGAGTCACCAGAGATACCAGGAAGCCCCGTCCAACATCAAATCAAAGAATATTAATTACGAAATACCTCGGGCCCCAATGTCTGCCTATGTCAACGTAGGTTTCGTATGAGGACATATTCATTCGCCTCGTTAACTTTATGTATAGAGAAATGCATCCAAGAAAGATCTCAAGGCCGTGAAGCAGTATTTGGAAAATATGGACCCGAAAAAAAAGGCTGAGAGTGTATATGCAGTGAAGGACTATGCCCCTTGGCACGGTGACGGAAAGTCTCAGACTCTGTCCCCAAAGGGTATTGCGTTCCAGACGAAGTCGATGTATACGAGTGGGGAACCTCAAGGGTATAAAACTGTTGTCACGCTAAAGGGGAAGTCAGATGCATATGTGACATATGAGTCACCTACTTGGAACGCAAATATTGGCACGATCATCATCGACGAGATGATCAAAGCTATCAACTTGAAGGTGTAGGAGGTTGCTCCAACTTCGTCGTAAATGACGCAGATAGTAACAGAACAAGGATGGTGGAGAGATAACAGAAGATAACCGTGACGGGATATGAAGAGGGAATTTCGAATCACGATATTTTCCTGCTGTACAGAGTCCAATTGTCACGTACTTGTCTGCTATAATCATTCACCCAAGACTTCTCCATGGAGCTGTGGTAGACATTTGAACCGACAATCCATGCAGCGCCCCCAATGTTCTGTTTGACCGCATTTCATTGCCAGTATGTATCACGTATCCACTCATCATCATCATGATCGAAAAAAGCAGTCCAGCCGCACGAGATGATCTCACAAAACTTGAGATAACACTAAATAGTACGGAACACGTATAAGACTGATGTGGACGAGCTGTTGCCAGTGATCACTGTCGCAAGTCCATTGTGGGACATCATCTCAACGGACAATAAAAACGAATTGCGAAGAAAGAAGCTTGACAAACAGGCGTGGTGACATGAAACGACATTCAACATACTCAACGGCGCAGCGAGACGCAGTACTATGAGCTTACATTGCATCTGACTCCTTCAAATAAATAAATCAATAGCATCATGATGATGCGCAGAATATCAATTGTAGGAAAGAACATACACCTGGCCCAAATCACTGGAAGTTCTGGAACTGGTGTATCGCCCTATGCATATGGGCGTCTATTTATATCGGACACATGTTCGTGTTATCACCTAAGCAACACATAATAGCAAGTCTAGCTGGTCTTTTCATTACTTCCACTATCACCAACAGCATCGATCGTCATCATGCTGCATGAAAAGGCCAAGTCACGCACGCCAACGAAACGGAGAGAACTAGAACGAGCAAATCTGTCATTGAACTCGTCAGGACTTGATGCTCCTCTGAAGCACTCCGGCAATCCACCACCTTATGGTGCACAGCACCACCAGGATACACTTTGGGATGGTGAACGAGCACGTTGTAAAACTCATTGACTGATTTAACATCAATCAGGAGGGAATAGGAAGAGGAGGGTTGGTTGGTTGGGCTGGAGGATGTGCAGGATGGAAGAGCCAATCCGAGTCGACGTCGACATGGCCTAGGTGCCAAGTTCAATCCATGACTCAGTTGCGGTGATATTGATTGTGATTGTCTCCCTTCTTTTGGTCTACAGTATATATTACCGAGTAACATCGTCTCCTTCATGATAACATACCACTTATGCTTATGTTTTCAGACTTGGAATACGTACAGTTGGAGTGGGGAGATAAACGAACCGACTCAAATCCGCCTTTGTTCGCACGCAACTTCAATTTGATCATCGCCTTTCAAATGTCGATGTTTGGTTATACGACTCCCAGCGTTAAAGGCCTGGCCTCTCCTAGTCAACAACCCACACTCTCGAGCAAGCACATGATACGCTGCACAACTGTTTTTTTCTTGCATGTCTACCAATGTGTCATTGTCCCGGAACCCTGGAGGACGTGAACAGTTATCCGTCCCTGTTCAACCGCAACAAAGTCATGGGAGAGTAATGCGGATGCACATCGGACAGCATATGTACGATTTGCTCGTATAATGAGACTAACTGACGGGATTACAGCCAGTTCATCGCCGAGTCGCTTCGCCTCCAGCCTGATCGAGGTTGGAATTGAATCTTGCATTTGATGCTCTTCGGAAAACGTCAGTCGAGATAGGTGTCGTCGCTTGGTCAACGTGCGTAAAATATTACTCACCAATTCTAACCTGATTATCTTAAGTAGGGGGTAGATGCAAGTAATCTCTCCATTTCTGGATCCAAGACGACAGCACTACACAAACACACATGACTGTCGAGCATCGTGTGGGCGTACAGCGTGTTACCCTGCCTTATTCAAAGGACGTAACCAAAAGGGTCAAGCAACGGGTTTCGACCCATCGAATTTGTATGACGTGGACTGAAGGACTAGGCATATCAAGTGCCCAATTATTGAAGTGTCTCACCTGAACTAACTGATTCGCTGATCGTTTCATCAGCCGCAGTCGCTTCCATAAATAAAAGGCTTACTTGTAAGACTTCGAGAGAAAGCAGTCTACTACGTCATAGCTAATACATGCCTGGTTACACTACTAGATGAAAGGGTCATTCATTGACGAAATTGGACCTGCATGTGACCCAAAGGCCATGTTAGGGACAAAGAGGGGCGTTTACTTAGCGCCTATTCTCAAAACGCAACGTGTAAATCGAGGCTGACGAGTGCCTGCACCCGAGCGGTGATGGCAATGGACCTCAGTAAGATGGCGGTCGAGTAAGCTCGGGGTCTCTTACGCCGAGCTATACGAATGAGGACACCTTAGACTGTGTACCATCATTCCACTACGTATACTGCCTCACTGCACAAGATGTACTCCCACCATCAGCACCATACATCAGCAAAGATGATCACAGAGCAAATGGCAATGCACGACCACGCCAACAGGCATACTAGTAGTGGCGTCAAGCATCACTCAAAGCGCTCATCTGACCTCGGTTTTTCTAAGCTATTCATATGGGTTCAGAGCCAGACCCCACAACCAGCGCTGTCATTCCTCCCATATGCCTCAGCACGGCGTACAAACAGGATGTAGCAGGTGTGCACAAGGTTCGTGTTTCAGTGTACTCCACATATCGTAACATAAATATATTTCAATTTACTTCACGTATCGTGTGAGTGATGACGTGCCTGATGGTGTGAACGGCTACATTGTTTGTCGACTTTGTTCTGGAGATGTATAGAGATATTACTGTAATCGTTTCTTTTTTTCGAGTACCTATTATATGTTATACTGTTCTGTCAGATTTAGTGGTTCATTGTACAATGTACATGGTCAGCAGAACACACGAGGTACAGGCCCCCCAGGGCAACGATCATTTTCAGTTAGAGTTGGCACCTGCAGGGCACAGGTTATCACTAAGCAAGGCGCCTGCAAAGACAGCATGCGAAACAACATATATAGCAGGTCTCTCCGTCACGTCCACCATCACCAACATCCCCAATCATGGCCATACCCCACCCAAAGACCAAGCCAAGCGCGCCAGCGAAAGGGACAGTGTCAGATCGAGGAGCTTCTCCCGTGAAGCCCTCGGGAGATCCACCACCCTATGGTGAACAACACCGCCAGGATGCACGTTGGGAAGGTGAGTAATCACGTTATGGAACCAATTGATCGACTCAACATAAAGCAGGAGGGAATGGTGCACTCCCTCCTATGTGGAGAGAGGATAAGGGTGGGGACGACCAACCGCGATATTTCGACGACGTACTTTTCATGACTACATCATGCCGGCCTGTACCAGGAGAACGACTAGGTGAGAAATGAAGGTGCGATGAGAGCGAGGAACTCATGGTCGAGCATAGATTACCCCGGGCAGCTCATTCCTGAATGCGAATGGCACATCTCACCACTCGGTTGGTCCTACTTCGTCAACCACAACACTCGGACCACATCGTGGAGGAAACCAGCACCAGAGCGTCCAGCAGGGAGCTTGATGCCAGAGTGCACCATAAAGTGCAATAACCGGTACAACGACACCCTTGCCTACTTGAACACCAGTGGCAACATCATTAGTACATCGGGCGAGGGCTCAATCCACCAGTGGACAAGAGAAGGAAAGCCAGTAGGAAAGCCTTGCGATGGTGATGGAAACCAAGTAACCGCAATGACGACGTCCCTGGATGAAACAATGGTTGTGTGTGGAAGTTTTGATGGTAGAGTGCGGCTGTGGAACATAAAGGAGAGGAGCGTAGTCGGTAACCCGTGGGAGGGGACTAATGTTAGAGTGAAGTGCCTTGATTGGTCTCCGACTGGGGTGGAGGTGGCAGGTGGCTCGGAAGATGGCACTATACGACGATGGAACCCAGCCACAGGTCGACAAATTACACCACTGATAAAGTCCGGTGATGAAAGGCTGGGGGCAGTCAAATACTCTCCTAAGGGCGATAAATTGGCGGGCGGTGGTGATGACAACATTATCCGCGTGTGGTCAAAGGACGGTGAGCTCCTCGTCGAGATAAAGGGGCACGATGACTGGGTGAGATCGATATGTTGGTCCAAGGATGGCACATACATTTTCTCAGCTTCATATGATCGCACCATCCGAAAATGGCAATCGGTTAACGGGGAAGAACTCGTCGTTTTTCAGGGTCATACCAACACCATTACATCCATCTGTCTGTCTCCCGATGAATCCCATCTTATCAGCGCATCATACGACTACTCAGTTCGCACCTGGGACCTCGAAACGAATCAGCAACTTGGAGACCCACTCTGGCACGACGATCTTGTATTGATTGTTGCCATGTCCTCCGATGGGCAATACTTTACCAGTGCCATCTATGGACCCAATGCAAAAATCTATGTATGGAATCTGGAAGTAGCACTCAAGCGTGCTCGTGGGGTTGACGTGCGTATGCACATTACTTTCCTCAAGCTCTTTTCTAAGTGGTTTTGTCTCGGTCAGGGCGATGCAGAGCCAATCGCTGAGCTCAAGGCGAGTCACTTTTCTTCTCATTCATACCTCATCTGACTTCTTTGCTAGGTACCAGCTCGACCTAGACATGTGAGCTAGTTAATTGCTAATAACCTGATTCTTCTCTCATTTATATCACCAGATCTCTCTTGTGCCTAGACAGCAGAATAACAATGAAGGCTCGGCAAGATACGTGAGTCCAGTGTGATTATTCCCGAGTTCTTTCTATCCTCACACTTGGTCAGGGCAATGATTTCTTCGGCGATAGCACAAACCACACTCCTCGTCGCTCAGAAGACACATCATCTCCGCCTGGTCTGCGCAATTTGTTCAGCTTCCTGCGCTCCAGCACTCGACCTTCAGATGCACCAGAACAATCAATTCAGCTTCGCCCCCGGCGATTGAATTTTAGCTCATTTCCCGTGAAAATATCCAGGCTTGCCGTCGATGTTGCTCCCTGTCGTGAGGAGGATGTGAGTAGTTCTTCGTCACTAGTATCCCCTTTGTGATACAAATAATTTCGCAGAGATATGGCATCGTCCATGAGTCTGATGAAGAAGCTGCCACAGCTATGAAACGTACGAGCAGCAACCATGTCGATGGTTCAACAGCACAGGGACATGTCGCAGCGGGGGTAAATGGGTCACAAGGACGACCAATGCAAACACAAAGCTCAACTGAGAAGGCTGGGGAATTTTCCTATGAAGTGAGCTGCTGCGGTTTGCCACTCTTGCGCTTTCGACGTCGCAAACTCGAGGCCATCTGATTGTTTCTTTTGCTCGGGGTTTTTTTAAATCCCTCTCTCTCGCACTTTTCTTATGGATTATCATGATGTCTCAGCCCCAACCATGCACTAGGCTCTTGTCGTCACACGGAAATATCTATTCTGACTTGTCTATTACATTCATACAACATAGCCTCGTCTGAAGTGTACAACTAATTGTTGCGATTGTTAGCTATATGTAGTTAATTATGACATCCTAGTCTGTTCACTGGTTCACTGATGCGTCGCTCAGCTCCGCCCACAGGCCCATACCCCAACCCCCCCATTCGTCGGCGCAATTTCTTCGGCTCCCTTCGCTTCAGCACTGTACCTGCAAATGCGCGAAAACCAATACCACTCCAGCACATATATATAGGTACATCTCGAGATTGACGTGCAGTTCTCTTACAGTAGTATATACAGTGGTATTCCATAGCTTCAGACCGCAATCAAACCTCATAGCGGCGTACCCGGAGGGGCACACCTCCAGCCTCAGCACTCCCGACCACACTCGGTCTTGGCAAAGGCCCAAAACTCTCCACAATCTGCACCCCAGGGCCATCCGCCATCTCAAACACGAAGTTTCGCACAAGCACGAACAGCACGGCCTAGGACGAAACCAAACACGGTCAAAACGAATCGGAACCAATACTCGCAGTAAAGAGTAAAGCGAGCAGCTGCATACCTTGAACTCTGTCAATGCAAATACGCGCCCCAAGCACATCCGAGGGCCATCGCCAAATGACATTAAATGACGATAGCCATGCAGTGTCTCTCTAGCCCCACGTGTGTCCTCGTTCTCTTCGAACCACCGGGAAGGTTTGAACTCCTTTGCGTCAGGCCCCCACATGCTAACTGAGCAATTGAGTGCAGCGAGTGGGACAACGACCACTGTCCCCTTTGGGATGCATACGCTGTCGGTATATGTACCGGCCGCCGTACGCATGGGTTCACTGAGCGGGATTACGTCTTCTTCCGTAGCCTGTCATTGTCAGTTCAAGCGAGTTGCATTGAATGACTGTCGTATACGCACCGATCGTATGGTTTCTTTGACTGACGGGTGGACGCGAAGAACTTCATTCGCTACAGCGTCTAGGTAGGGAAGCTTATTCGTGAGCTCGTCGTATGAGGGGGATGGCCCGAAGCCTAGACACTCGTTGCGAAGCTGGGTCTGCACGTCTGGATTCCTCGCAAGTTCTATCAAAGCCCACTGTGAAGTTGAGAAACGCGGGTGAAGCAGTGAGCGATTCGAAACTTACTGTCATGCTGGCTGGTGAAATGCAATGAATGGTGAGTGTGCGGTTCGTTTGCTAGACGAATACACGTTACCTGAAGTGGTCTCAAAGCCGGCGAGGAGCAGAGCCCTTGCCTGGAGATGGACATCAGTGTCACATAGCTCAGGGGACTTCTATGATTATACCTGAGCTAGTACTTCTTCGTGAGTCATTCCTGCGCTCTCACCAGAATCCTCAGCTTTCACTGTACAACAGTTGTAGCGTTTGCAATTCGGCAAACGAAGGGCAGGACTCACGAAGCAAACCCAAACATGATTTGTCCCCGTGCTCCGCGCCCCCAGTCTCTTTCTCCTTGCGCGTCCGCAATAACATCTCGTGGCATATTTTACCAAAGATCAGGCTCTGTTTCTGTGAGAACCGTGTGCGACGCCATGGTAGCTTCAGGATGGAAGGAAAACTCTGTGCGAGCATAATAACGTCGTGGGAAACATTAGCAGGTAAAACAGATTCATTCACGATGTGCACGACATCGGAGTCATGTCCATCGAGTGCGCCGAAGTCATGGTTCAGGATGGCTATGCCAGCACTGTCAAGTCTACGTGGCGGGTGCTGGATGAGACGCAGCCTGGTGGAGAGCAATAGATTTACATACGAGATGTGATTCATCCTGCATAATATATGTCTGAGTACGTGGGTAGGAAACTTTTAGGGAGAAAACAAATACCATTGTTGAGCATCAATTACAGCGGAATGAGTTCCTTGGTTCGCTCCTATCTCAGCGTCCCAAGCGATCGTTGCCTGTGACCTATTTCGAGTACAGTGACGGGCGAACGATTAGTGACTGACCTTGTGAGCAGCATCTAGGAAAACAGAAGTCAGGCTGCGGATGGCAGCTGCGCTGAAGGCAGGGTTGAGAGCCTTGCGCTGCCTGATGAATGACAAAGTATGGCTCGGATTTAGTTCGGCACCACTTGAAGGTCATAGTTCCGACCTTTTGTGACTTTCGCCATCGGCCCACAGAATTCCACGTCCAATCTGTCAGTCGCAGAAATGCGGCATGACCATATATCTGTACAAGGAAGTGAAGGGACATACCATTATTTGAACGGCGGTGTTGTTGAACGGAGTTTGGTTATACAACCACGTGTCTCTTGCAAAGAAATGAGAGATTGCTTTTGGGTCCCATAGTATGACCCTGGACTGTCCAAAAAAGACAGGGATTTTATACACTGGACCGTACTCTATGGCCCAACGTTCGAACAGTACAGCTGTGGCGGTGGAATTTACCACTGTCTTGGACAAGCCAAACACCCAACTTGGGCTCTGAGGTCCTCGGATGCGTGTCGTTCGTTGGCTTTGGCGATACACTTGCAGGAGACAGAGGGACGCCAGTATCAGCACAGAGACACGTATCGTTGAACCTGTTAGGGACACTGCGAGGCAGAGGTCCTTCCAGGCAAGCCAGATGTCTCTGCCGTAGTGCTTGCTTTGCGACACATCCATGATTGTGAACAAGGGTATGATCTAGCAGTAATCGAGTACTGGACGACCTTTTATTACTTTGTAAACCTGATTGTAGCCTCATCAGAGGACTGGTAAGCTGTATGCATGCCGATATGATTGTGTATAAAAAGATTTTTGTCATGTTGGAATATAAATAAATGGTGCGCAGCCAGATAGAGCACGACAAAGTCGGAAGGTTCCAGCAATCAACGTAAAGCACCTTGGGGAGACTCACGAGTTCTCCGATTACCCTTGCTCCTCTGATGAGGACCGAGGACCCGGCACCCTATGGTGCACTGTGGGGAGGCAGGCAACCGCATTATAATACCCATGCACCCTCAATTATGGCAACAGTTGAAGGGGCCGACCTGTAATATCACATATTAAAATGACATCATTTGTATGGTGTCATTGCACTAACCTTTAGTAGAAGTACAGCTAGGTTAGCGAAGAGGCTCTGACACCACACACGGCGCGGCGGTTTCGGAGTTTTGACACAAGCAACATTTCAATCAAAATGGAGTTGATAAATCGATTCGAAATTCGGCTTGAGAACAACGAGAAATTTTTTTAAGCAACACACCTGCAATTACAGCATAACAGCAAGTCTAGCCGGCCGTTTCATTACTTCTACACCAACGGCATCGATCGTCATCATGCTGCACAAAAAGGTCAAGTAACGCACGCCAACGAAACGGAGAGAACTAGAACGAGCAAATCTGTCATTGAACTTGTCAGGACTTGGAGCTCCCTGAAGCACTCCAGCATTCCACCACCTTATGGTGCACAGCATCGCCAGGATGCACTTTTGGAAGGTGAACAAGCACGTTGTGAAACCCATTGACCTATTGAACATCAAGCAGGAGGGAATGAGGCGCTCCCTCCTATGTGGATAGACATTGGTATTAAAGCGGAGGCAGATGACTAACCAGAATATTTCGACGACGTGCTCTTTATGCTTGCATCACGCCGGCCTGTACCAGGAGAACGATTGGGTGAGCAACAAAAGTGCGATGAGAGCGAGAGACTCATGGTCAAGTATAGATTACCCCGGGCAGCTCGTTCCTGGATGCGAAAGGCACATCACACCACACGGTCGGTCATACTTCGTCAACCACAACATCCGTACCACATCGTGGAAGAAGCCAATGCCAGAAAGTAAAGCAGGGAACTTGATGTCACGGTGGATGATCAAGTGTGACGACTGGTACAACGGCGGCGTTGCCTGCTTGGGCCCCAGTGGGAATGAAATGAGGACGTGGGGCGATGATTCAATCTGCCAGTGGACAAGAGATGGAAAGCCAGTAGGAAAGCCTTGCGATGGTGATGGAAACCAGGTAGTCGCAATGGCCGTGTTTGTGGGCGACAAATTGCACCACCGATAAAGACCGGTGATGAAACGGTGGGTGGGCGACACATTCACGAGCGGCAGTGATGACAACATGGTCCGTGTACATGTGTGGTCAAAGGACGGCGACCTCATCATTGAGATAAAGGGATACAAACGGTGGGTGAGATTGATATGTTGGTCTAAGGATGGCGCATACATGATCCCTTCTCTGCATTTGATCGCATCCGAAAATGGCACATTGATGGATTGACGGCATCATTTTTCAGGGTCAAACCAACGACGTTACATCTATTTGCCTGTCTCCCGATGGATGCCATCTTGTCAGTGCGTCAAAGGACTACTCAGTTCGCATCTGGACCTCAAAACCAATCAGCAAGTCGGAGACCCACTTTGACACGACAATCAGATCTCGATTGTTGCCGTGTCCTCTGATGGACAATACTTTGCCAGTGCTATCCATGGACCTAATGCAAAAATCTATGTATGGAGTCTGGAAGCAGCACTCAAGCGTGCTCGTGGTGTTGACGTGCGTGTATACATCACTTTCATCAGGATATTTTCTAAGTGATTTTATGTGTCGCTCAGGACAATGCGGATCCCAACGCTAAGCTCAAGGCGAGTCATCTTTCTTCTCCTTCATACTCATTTCGCTTATTCGCTAGGTACGAGCTCGATCTACAGACGTGAGCTAGTCATTTGCAATCACTCTATCTTTCACTCATTTGTCTCATAAGATCTCTCTTGCGCCTAGACGACAAACCAACAATAGAGGCTTGGCAAGATATGTGAGTCTACTAGTTCGATCATGCCTGAGTTCCTTCTGTCCTAACACTTGTTCATGGCAATGACTTCTTCGGCGATGACACAAACCGCATGCCTAATTACTCAGCAGACACATCATCTCGGCCTGGTCTGCGCAAGTTGTTCGGCTTCCTGCGCTCCAGCACTCGACCTGCAAATGCCCCACAACAGTCAATTCAGCTTCAGCCTCGGCGACTAAATATCAGCTCATTTCCTGTGAGAATCTCCAGGCATCCCGACAATGTTGCTCCTTGCCGTGAGGAACACGTGAGTAGTTCGTCATCACCAATCCATGCTCCTCTTTGATACCTTTGCAGAGATATGGTATGACCCATGAAACTGATGAGGAAGCCGCCGCAGCTATGCAACGTACGAGTAGCAACAATGCCGACAGGAGCTGCTGTCCTCTCATGCTGGTAGACTAGGAATCAATCGCTTGAACACGCAGTCTGCAGATACTGCTATCAACATTAAGGCGTGACTATCACATCGATATTGTACACATACTGCTAAAATGAGCGTGTGGATAGGCGACTTGCAACACTTTGCGAGACGCGTCAGCAACTTATGGGGCGACAAGTCGCCTGACGCCCTTGAAGGCATGAAGCGAGCTGTTGAGCAATGCCTCGGATAATGTCTCCCCATGTTTGCGCAATCTTGAATGATACTTTGCTTGATCTATGACATGGCGGATGGTGTTCCATGCCACAAGTGCTTCTTCCGATGTTGGACGTCGAGCTGGATCGTCTGCCTTCAATGCGTTTACTAAAGGTGACAGGAAATGCAAATCCGCATATATCTGACGAGAGTTATCCTAAGCGCTCAGTATTTTTCAACGAACACGTACCTTGTAGAAATTGTCATCAAGTAGATAGCCAATGATGGCCATGTCTATTTTGAAAGGATCATGAGGGAGTCCGGCCACAAGCTCGGGAGGTCGTTGTTCACGTCCTCGTAAATCAGCAATAGTACGTTGCTGCCCTGGGAGGAAACGGGCTGAGATTCCAAAGTCTATAAAAAAGTATTTGACGTTGGCATCGATGCGATCGCAATGGTGCGCGGCATCAGTTAAATCTGGTGATAGACTACGGCGGATTGGATGCCACCCATTTGGATACATGGTGGTTGCATCCATCATAATGTTTAGACCGACACAATCGCTGCAGAACGTCATTTTACTAGATAAAAGGCAGGAAGATTCCGACTGACCGGTGAGCTACGCCATGTTTATGCATAAAGTGCAGACCCTGCATGAAAAGTTAGGATTTTGCATGTAAGAGCCATAAATTTCATACGTCGAGAATTTGTTGAATAAACTCCACCACTTCTCCAATTACCACAAATTCCGGATCATTGAATAGACGGAGTAGCGGCATGACAAGGTAGCAGGCACCGTCAACAGATGGATCAGGAATGAATTCAATAATTGGAACGCAATGGTTCGTAGGATCCAGTGATAGCTGAGGTGATCGCAAGTACTCGCAGATGGCTCTCTCGTTTTCTGTGTAGGCTTTCCTGATCCACTTGATGCAAACTGTTCGACCAGTAGTTCGTTGCGTGGCATCGAGAATGTGGGGAAGCTAGGAGGAGAGAATTGAATTCAACGTCTAGTTTGGTAAATCGATTGACACACGTTTGGAATAACCGAGTCTTCACACTGGCTTTTGCTGCGATTCGTCCCAGGCCACGATGCAGTCCAATCTGGATGGTATCGCGGACGTAGCACATACCCTTTTACCTCCAGAAAGAAGTAGCTGTTGGACCACCGCATCTCGCTCGTATTGCGATAAGTCTCATCATAGACCATGGCTGAGTGGCAGCTGCAAGTTGGCTGTTGAGTGCCAGTGTATGCACAGGAAGACGCCGCCAAAGTTGTAGGTCCAAGTTGATGATTTTGATATTATGCGATGAAACTGATGTGTATATATATATGTATATATGTACCGATCCTCATGATAAACATGCTGGATGTGGCTGGGCGACTCTACATAAAAGACCGAGGGGAATTGAATTATCTCCGACAGCCAGCCCTCCTCCTCGGATACAACCACAGTCATACACCAGTCGACGTGACAACTTCATTCCTCATTCCTCTCATATCTCATATGGATAACAATCTGCTCTCATTTTTCTCTAATGTGTTTGGGCTTTGCATAGGAGCGGCGACGATACTTGGTGTACTACTTGGATTTTTACGGTCTCATTTGCCTAGCCAAAGGATCAAGGAGCTGGAAGAGCTACTTGAGGAAACCCAAGGCTTGTATGAGTCTGCAGTAGAAGATGGTCTTCTACCCGATGTCATGCTTAGAAGCCAAATGGGAGAAAGACTTGTCGTGTACGTTTTGTCTGCTCTGGTGACGTAAAGCAACTGACTTGGGCGTAGCTTGCGCGAAGGAATGTTAGAATTGCGTTCCAGAGCATATAATGCGACCACATTGCTTAAGGATTACCAAGAATTCTTCAGAGGGCTCAGCTACGACATTGGAGTCGCTTGTTGTGACATGAAAGAGCTTCGAGCATCAGTTATCGTGAGTTTCTTTGTCTCAGGTAGGCTGGATTATTCACCTTATCATACAAGACCACAAGCGAAGCCGAGCGGTGCAGGACTAGTATCCGCAGAAGCAACTGCAGCACTTACAGCACTGTCCCGCAACCGACAGCACCGCCACAAGCATCGTGTGCAATGGGAATGAGTTCTCTTCTGCGCCTAGAATCCCACGAACCGGATTACTCACATACACAATGCATCATGACGCCCGCTGATGCGCCACATTTACCATGGAGCCTACATGATGTTGAGGTCGACTTGACGGACCTTCGTAATCTCTGTGATTCCGCGTTCCTGGACCGAACACCTTTGCTGAACGCAGCATCCATTTGCTCGGATGACAGTGTCACTTCTCCAGATGACAATCCTGCAATGTAATTCAAAGTGTTCCCTGGGGCACATGATGCATCACCTCTACAGCGCCACGAATATTGGGAACAGCATATTGTCAATGCTGGTCGAGGTCAATGCGTTCATACAACGCAGTGTCTCAGACCGACTCGACCATATCTGTAACAACTATGTATCAGAAGGCAGATTGTAGATGACATGAATGTATGTAGATACCTGACCACTCGATACCCCTATTATTATCTGTACTAACGGACAATACCGAATGCCATAGACGATGTATAAATGAATGCAACCCCGATGCGTGCGATTGATGACCTGGCGAACTTGGAAAGGTTTTGCGGCTGGCAGGTGGGATTGATATTCGATAGGTTGAGTCCTGCACTTGTGGCTTCGAGAGGACGATATCAAATGTTCCCGTGAACGATAGACGCTGGGGTACCCACGACCCATAGTACATTTTGTCCCCGTGACGGTATTCAGCATCGGGCCCCATGCCATCGGGTTTCAATCCCCTAGTTCTCATTCTCCAGAACATCCAAGATTACGACTGCTGGGTCAAGTGCCTGAAATGCGTAAGATGAAGCCTAATGTGTTTCGCAACCAACTTATCTGCGCGAAAATAGTGACAGCGACCAGCAAGGCACATGAACGCAGACTATTGAAGGTAAGCATGACGGCGTTAGAGAGCATAGAACGGAGAAGTGGATAGAGTCATAAAATTTGCTGTCAGCAAACTCTAGATCCTCGACTACACAGTCAAATCCAAGGCTGAGGGATATACCCATCCACGAAGATGTGAGGAGTGGCACAATCCTCAGTTCTGTATAAAGAGTGTTGTGGGTATTAGAAAGGGGGAGATGTACGACAAGAATGAAGGTCGGGAATGATAGTGATATCTAAGATATACAATGACTGGTCTGAAATAAGTCCTCATGGAAGGTAAGCTCAGTTACCAAAGTGCTGTAATTATGTGAAATCTACCTTAACAACGTCACCCATACGACTAGAAATATGCCCCGCGAAGACGGACTACACCATCTTTGAGTCGCTCCGTAATCACAGGACTCGCTGCTGGGCGATATTTGAACTCCTTTGAGTATCTGTGCAAGATGGCAGTCAGACTCTGCACCATTCGCCGGGGCACAGACGGATTAAAGAGTTTGTGATACAAAATACCGCTTACCTATCAGCATGAATAGTTTTAGGTTGGGATTTCGGGGACTGCAACTGGAATGCAGCCCAGAAGAGGAATGCTGTCACGAGAAGGAGTGCAACGCGCTTCCAGAGCGACGGCGCGGGGTGGTTAAAACGAGGATCTGCATCGAGTTGCTTGAGTTGAGACTGCAGTTGTGGATCGCCCTCTGTTTCAGCGGGGTCGTTGGTTGAGAGTGACTGATATTGGGCTGGCATGGCGCCGCTGGCAAGTCTAAAAGTGAAAAGTGGTGCGGTGTACTATGTAGTGCTAGTGAAAGTTGTAACGGTCGGAGTTTCAAGTTATCCTACGTGGCCGCCGCACCTCCGAGTGAAGATGGGTCTACAACTTGAAATGATGGGTATGCTTGTTCAACACAAACTACTATAATTTAACGTTCATACAGCTATGTGTACTGTACTCAGTAATATAATGAGGTCCCGACACTGAGTAGCACGTTAATCAAGCTGACCGATATACTTAGGTGAGCCACAACCACAGTCCAAGTCCAACTTAAAACCGTACATGTTTCAAGCCCCATCTAGTCGGACGGGAGAGAGGGAACCTTTGCCAGCTCGTCTTCCACAAAGGATGCGGCATCCCCAGTGGAAGGACGGACTTCAGGCTTGGCTGACCAACATTTCCGCATGAAATCCAAATGCTGGTGGCCAACGGACACATTGGAGTCCAGTCGATATGGCTCTGTGCGCTTGAACTGAGCATGGAATACCTGTTGAACATGTTTAATCCACCAGAAGGGAAGTCTACCCGAGAAGACCTGTACGAAACAAGACTCAGGTGAAACTCGACCAGGGTTTAGCATACATAACTAACCTGTAGCATGATGCAACCGAGCGAAAACATATCACTTTGAATGTTCGGTTTCTGGAAGTCGTCCTCGCTGTCACGGATATCTGCGGTGTTTTCTGGTTCCGGTGAGCCCATCAATTCGGGCGCTAACCACCGGACAGCGCCGCTCGAATACGAGTTGTAGTAGGATCTGTCGCCCTCAGCGAGAGCCACAGAGAGACCGAAATCTGCCAAGAATGCGTTGCCATCACGGTCAATCAAAACATTTGTCTTCAATCATAGAGTTAGTGTTAGTAAGGACTCAGTAGCGCCGAAGAGTACATACGCTGGTCATGTCCCCATGAATTATTCCCTGTCCGTGAACTAGAGAGGTTGTCAGAGAGAAAACATGTATTCAGAGCAGCAATCCCGTACGATATCTCAGGCCATCCACCACCTGTTTCAGCTAGTTAAGGGCGTCCATTAGCAAGGACTTGTATTTTGCATGATAAACCTCACCAGCTTGAGTTTCTGTTCCATGGTGAGGCTTGTGCGCTCCAGGTAGCCATGAAGTGCCCCGTTATCCATCCATGTAGAAACAAGAGCAGGCAATTGACCAAATCCGGAGACCGTGCCGTGAAGAGTAAGAACATGCTTATGTCTCAGTTTAATCCACACATTTACTTCGCGGCGAAGTCTCTGCGGGCGGACATTCAACACACTTCACAATGGGGAGTTCACGCTAGCATACCCTCGTCGCTTTTTGAATGGCTTGTTCATTGCGTATGTCCGCTATCCTGATAGTTTTTACAGCAACCTGTGCAATAGTTATTAGTACAGGAAATTCGCAGAGCTACATCATATGTACCTCAGTAGAAGTTGCAGGATCGATGCCCATTGAGCACTTCCAGACATCGCCCAAGCCACCAGATGACGCAGGATAAATCGATTGCCTCCCGATGGTTGTAAACGGAATGTCAGATGGGTCCGCATCGAAGACCACTCTGCATCTCGTGTTTTAATAACTGCATTTCGTGAAAAAAATTGCACTTACGGCCGCGCTTCATATATACCAGTGGCCATTGGTATAATGACGGTGCTGCTGGTATCTCATGAGGATGTGTCTTATGACCCAGAGTAGGCGAAATACTTACGATGCAAGATTATCATCCACGTTGCTGGATAGTGTGGAGGAATTGAGCCTCTCGGCTTGCAGTGCCGAAAGCTGAAATTGTGAATTTCTATGGCCTATATTTTGAGTGCTATTCATCGTAATACGGTCATCGGACATACGACTGTAGAGCAGTGTTATCGGCCACTGGCTCTGGTAAGACTGAAACCGTCAAGGGGCTGTTATAGCATGGGAGACCGTTTTTCATAATCCTCGGTTAAAAGGCTCACATTGCGGACTCTTCGGGGACGGCAAATCTCCCTACAGGATTGCTGTGGCCGTTATCGATCTGTCAATATGATGGCAAGGTCAGTCATCGAATCAAATGACTGAAACAGTGCCTCACAATACGAGTCTGCTGGGGCTTTCGAAATAATGACGTGCAGCAACCCATGGTAATGGTCCTGTTAATGGAGGTCTGCGATGCGCTGATTGAAGGGAGAGTAGGAGTGGGCAGATTTGAGAGGAACTGGCCGTGCCTACTAAATAGTACCAGGAGTCCTCGTGTACCCACCACCTAAATTTGCAAGGCGCCTGAGTGTGTGGAAGAAATTAGCGCGCTGGCCGGAAGCCGCATGTACATAATCGAAGAAAGCTGCATTGTCGACGTAACTTTAAGGAACCCTGATTGGCATAATGAATAACCTCATCCAAACCTCATTATGATCTAGTCAGTCACTAGTATGGTTAGTTCTGTCTCCACACCATCTTCGATTGATCCTGTGAGGCCTGTGGTGAATTGAATCTGACCTGCAGGTGCGGTTCAAGTGAGGTTGCACGGGAAATCGTATTTTCCACCGTTATGCAGGCTTACACGCATCTGGTTCCAAGTGCAGGTTTGAATCAAGGGGCACCACAGTGGCACAGAGCGAGGCAAATCCACTTCAGTTATAACCAAAGGAGGACAGTCTGGCTTGGACTCGGAACGCGTTTTTTGCGTCATTTACTACATCAGCAAACTACTGGGCTCTGTACAGAACTGTACAGTTCTGTACAGAGCCCGAGCGATACAGCTTGGTCCCTTCTGTACAGTTCACTACAGTACCACATCACTCTGTAAATTTTCGTACAGACAACTTACAGACTCACAGAGAAGGCTCATTGTACATAGATTGTCAATAATATATCATTGTACTACTGCTGCTCACTGTCCAACTGGTCCACACGTGTACAGATAAGCACCATTGTACTACCGCTGCTCACTGTCCAACCAGTCCACACGTGTACAGATAAGCACAATGATCAACAAACTTTGATGGTATTCAATCAGATAGCAAACACGGCGGCGGAAAACGCGATACATTGTACACTAGCGGGAATGATGCTCGAGATAGAATCAGTGCGGGGGAATAGCGCTAAGACCTCAATCAAGGACAAATTTCAAATGCGAATGCTTCGCAGCATCATTGAAGCCGCCATCCACCTTGTAGGATTCCGCCCTGTGCGAACTTCGTCAGTATGCAAAACATCACGAAATAAAAGCCCTTGCCATCCAGCTCGAGCCCAGGAACGGAGCTGTTGCACTAGCTTCGGTCCATGGTAAGAATGTTCCAAGATCCCCTGCAGCTTAGTGACCGTAAGGCTATACAACGAACCGTATTCCTTCGCGGTAAACTTCGGAAATGATTTTCCGCTGCCGTTCTTAGCAAGGCCGTCCAGGACACAATTAACCTACAGAAATGATGTCAGTAGATTGTTAGTAAGATAGAAGCGCAGAAAACATACCGCGGTGCAAACTAATGCCAAGCACTCGAGTGGTAACTGTGTCCGGAAGATTTCAGGCCTCCTGCGAGCGACGCGGTAAGATGATGTGTAAAAGAAAGAAATAACGGCCTCGCGAAGCGCGGGATGAGCGGCGTTTTGGGTTTTGCCGAGGTCATCTAGACCATTGCGCAGAAACTTAGCATCCTCCAGCAACTCCCCAGCGGCAGCTGTGACCCAGGCGGCACGTTGTTGGGGGGGGATGTGGGGTGGGGGGATAAGATTGTACATAGAAGGCACAATGTTAATCACAATCTTCTTGAGGTCTGAGCGCCAGGTTGATAAATCCTCATACAGCTAAAATAACAGCGCATTAGTGATCGGACATGCAACGACAAAAATACATACCAGCTTGGCCATATCGTGCTTGTGATCAGGCCAGATACCTGGTAGACATTTGAGTAATGTCTTGAGCAAACACAAAAAGACGTACCCTCTTCGACGTGCTGACCACTTTCAAGCCATTCGACAAGTGAGGCCATGAGTACCTCGTTGACAGAACCTGTCAAGTCTTTGACCAGCTTCGGGAATGGGTTCTCGATCGCGTGTTGGACGCGGCACTCGCCCTTCGTATCCTCGAGGAAGCTCTTCCAACGAGGACCATACCAGCCCAGTTGAGTAGCTTTAGGTCCTTCGCCTGGTTCGTCAGATTTCGCCAATGCAGTCTTGGCTTGTGTGTTGCTTGACTTGTGGTTGGGTTTCTTTGTCTCGGCGTGATGTAAGAGTTCGAGAAATTGAGGATCAGGAAGGCGAGGGCGTCCATTTTTCTTGTGGTGAAGTTGTAACACGTCATCTGGTTGGGGATCAGCCGGCTGTAGGAAAGAAAAAATTAGCGGACTTCAGGAAATTATATAAACTATACCTGGGTCACAGTATCATCATCGCTGGAGCTATTATTTGCTACCAAAGATCTCTCCGCATCATTGTCACCTTCATCGCGGGAATGTTGAAATTCGAAGTCGGTTGGAAGCGCGAGGGCAACGCGGGGTTGGGATGGTAAATCTTCCTTCGAGAATCCTGTCACTCTCTTAGTGTGTTCACAACGGTGATAACTAACAGCTTACCAGGATGTGCAGTCATGCGCCCATGTGCTGCCCCCCAGCCAACATTGTCGTCTGTGTGATCTGCCTCTTCATCGCTAGCACTTCCATCACCGCCTTCGCTAGATGTTCCCGAACTGTCGGATCTTGTGTCTTGCGGTTCATACTGATCAAAACGTTCATCATTGACAGGTCGAAGGGCAGGGTCGAGGTTCTGATACAAGTCTGAGTCAGCATCGGATTGATGTGCAGGTAATGTGCGATTTGAAGGTACCACCGAATGCTGGTTTTCAGAGGTGACGACAGCAATGGGAAGATGTCCAGTGGTACCTAAAGTCGCTGAAGAAGTCTGCTTCTCCCTGGCCGCAGCCACATAAGAATTGTTAAGTGCTTGAAGGTCAGGCTCTGTGCCAGGGGGAACGATATGCTGAGCAAATCCAAATCGCGCGCCCGCTTCGCGGTGCACAAGCCTGGGCTGGAGGTTCGGGGCCTCAAAATCTAAGGCAGGGGGAGCAGCATTCTTCGTTGCCTTTGTTTTTTTGGCCCGAGGTCCAGAAGCTGCAGAATCCGTCATCTTGGAGGCACTGTATGGCGGGGGGGGGCTTCTGAATATATATCCAGCGTTATAAGCCTGTCACTGCAACTTTAAGTATATAAGAAAACCTACCTTTGAGTGGCTTCCACGACCCTTACGAGGCGGCTCCGGAGCAAGCGGGTTGTTAGGAACATCCGAGTCAAGAGAGGTGGAGCCTTTGGGTCGACTGGTTCGTGTCGAGGCACCCAAGAGATTACCGATTATCTCTAGTTGACTGGCTCTGCCTCCTTGTCCTGCACCATGACGTCCGGAACGTCGAGGGGGCACAGCCTGAGAGTTGGTGACATCAGGAGTCGGCTGCAACACAAGGGGTGCCTCAGCCCCAGCCCGCGTTCTCTTTGTTGAAACACGCTGCCCATCAGAGTCGATAGCTTTACGCTTTGTCTTCTTCTTAGGGCTAGCGCGAGCGTGATTCTGAGATTGAGAAGGCATGACTGGAGCTGACACCAGAAGGAATGATGATAGCGTGCAGTAATTGTGGACCGGACACTTGCCTTGAAGGCTTTTAATAGTCTGTTGACGAAGGAGCATCACAAGCGCTTTTTGGAAGTATGACTCGGAGTCAAGGGCTGAAGCGCTGACCCGCAGGGCATGATTAAAAGATTTCGCCGGTCGAAGTTTGAGTAATAGTAGAGGTAAGAATTCATATCAATGAGTCAGTGCTACGTTTTTCGGAAGTGCATGTTATATCACGTGACTCGAATGACCAATGTAATTGTAAATGATACATGTATATGTGTGCGAGTCCCTATCCAGTCTTGCTCCTTTTCGGCTTGGGCACAGCTTCCATCGTCCATCGATAATCAATAACCCGTTTGTTTTTGTTGCGCACCATGGGCTCAGCAACTAACCGTGATTCAGATTCCCCTTCCTCGCCACTGCTTGAAGCCTCCGAGTCAGCCTTGTTGAGTGCCTTGAGCAACCACGTTGAGACCAGGAGCTGAGGCGACAACTCGTTGGTTGGAAATGTCACGATATGTCTATTCAACATCGAAATCACGTCGTCGAAACCTACGTTCTTCGGGTCTCTTATCAGATGATGCCACTCCAATGCAACGGGAAGGAGGTTTTTGAAGTACGGGTGGATCTGGTTGGTGAGTTCCTTGGCGTAGTGTTCTTCGTAAAAAAAGAACGATGTTTTACTATCACAGCACGCCTTGAACTTGGACGCGGACCATTCATGCGGTATCCAAGTGCAACTCTTGTCCAGAATGCGCTTCATGCCAAGGGGACCTCTAAATTCGATCAAAATCCAGATGAACACGTAGAACACGGACTCGAGGTCATCCTGGTAGCTGTGCTTGATCAGGGGGGCTGGGTATGGTTTCGAACTCGAGGCTCCCTTGTGCGCCACCATGTCACCTGGACTCTTGAGGTGAAGCTGGAAGAGAAGTGCTCGGGACATGAAAGGTAATGTGCCCTTAACGCGCTTCATTAGTACCGACCCTTCTACGAATTAAAAACGCTTACGGTGCCCCCAACAGTGTAGGTCTCATTTTTGGCGATTTTCACCGCAAACTCCCAATCTATCAGCATTCCTTGGGAGCCGTTACCATCGTCCTCAATCATGGAGTTGTTCAGACTGCAATCACGGTGGAGGACCTTGCGCTGTTCCACCGCTTCCTTCTGAACTAATGGTAAGTCAGCAAAAGCTTTAAATTGCAATGTATGGTACGTACTCTGCACAATATCTCGTATCGACGTCAACAACTCTAACTTTGTGCGGAATTTATGCAAAGGTCGCGCGCGGGGCTTCAAGACAACGCGAACATGAGTACGGAATGTGCCTTTCAGGCTTCGCACGGACTTGAACCGATAATTCTGCGTTTGATCAACCTTGTTGGGCTCGGACTCGACAAGCCAATATTCGACAAGCTTGGGGACACCGCGGACACCGCTCATCTTCTCCATCATGTGGATCTCATTCAAGGCTTCTTCATCTCCCCCCATGGCCCAGTAATCCTTGATAATAAACTCCTCCCCGTCCTTCCTGGCCAGATAGCAAACGGTGCCGCGACCCACAAGACCCTGTCTGGAAAAAATAATTTCCAAGATATCGTAGTAGTGGTCCTTGACACGTATTTTTCCGATCGGCCGTGGTAGAGGTTCGTGGACTGTAGGATCTTGAGGGATTTCTATAGGGAGCTCCACGACGAAGTCGTCTTCAGCGGAGTCACCCTCAGCGCGCTCTGTGCCCTCCTCAGAGAGGGGGTTGCCGATCTGAGAAGATGTGCTCTCGATCTCGTTCTCGTTGCAGGAGGATGCGCTCTCGATCTCGTTGCAGGAGGGTGCGCTCTCAATCTCGTTATAGGGCGTGCTCTCGATCTCGCGGGGGTGGGAGGGTGTGTCAGAGGAACTTTCGATCTGGGGGGGGGAGGGGGAATTAGAGTGTGATCTCAGTGTCCTGCTGGAGCGTATGCGCGAAGATGGTGATAGTGGGGTCATACCCGATGCATGTTAGATTGCCGAAGACGATGCACGACAAGATGCGCAAGAATTTGTTAGGCTCCTTTTGGATGCTAGTGCAAGGGCTCACGACACCCCCCGAATGGTCGTACACGTGAACGCGAAGATCGCGATAGCTATTGCACACCGATATCAATAATGCGAACCGTCTCCAGGGTTGGTGCTTCAGAAGAAGGTAAGCTTTGGTGTCGAGAGTCTTCGCAAGGGTGCTTGAAGGTTGGTATGCGCTGGATGTCAGCTCGCATACCGCTTTGATCGTATCCCACCTAGCCTCAACATCATCCAGCAAGGTAAGATCTGGTTTCCGTGGAATTTCTTCACCGGGTACTGGGCGAGATGAGTTTGCTGCACTCCAGGTGCGCGATAAGTCGTGTGCCCGAGCGAGTTTAGGCTGCGATGCGATGAGAGCAACAGAAACAATGTTAAAGAACGATGAGAAAATTTGTTCCATCGTTGATGGATCCTCGGCTTTAATCGAGGGCGCTTCGAGTGAGTCCTCCTCCATTTCCCCAACTTCCGACCCCTCCTCAACCTCTGACTCCTCTCCAACTTCTGGCCCCTCATCAGCGAATAGGTCCCCATCGGCGAATGGCAACTTGCTCGCGGTAAGTTCACTGGTGGATGGGACACCTAGACTCCCAGAGGACAACTGAGATTGGGTTGCTTCATCGATCAATACCCAATCTCCTGACTTCTCACCCATGCTACTCCCTCCTCCCTGAACCAAGTCGCTTTTTTCACGTTTACGCTGTTTTGAAAGTGGCCAATTCCATTGACGTTTTGCGCTATCATACAGGTGCACCATCGGATCTCCACCTGGCTTCAGAGTGAAGGTTTCTAGGTGATCGAGCCCGGCATTGGAAGGTAATTTCCTCAACGGAATAGCAAGATCTTTCGCGTTGGGAACTTCAACCGTGCACGACTGGAAAATCAGGGACAAGATGTAGCCGAGCTTGTCCTTGTCCTTTCTGGCGAGCGGGGGTTCTTGGAGTATCAAACGGTTGAGTTCCAAATCAGTGAATTTATCCATAGCGTCTGTGTCGTGGAGCGGGGGAGCTGAAAGGAAGGATGACAGCTTCATCCCTAGGTCAATTGTTCGGCAATGTCGCGCAGCTGGCATTTTGACAGGCACGAAGAACAAAGCATGGGAGAAACAACGGTACTAGGATACAAATGGAAGTAACTAAGCCAATAATGATGGCACACAAACTAATCTCAGCATGAATCAAATACTATCCTGATAGCGCGAAGAAAGTGTTTTTTTCCCAATATTCATTCAACCAAAACTCCGTGGCATGCTCCATACTGTTGTAGGTGGTTAGACGTTTATCCGCAGTTGCTCCAAAGCGAGGGATCAGGTTGATAGGCGCCCGGAGTTGAGAGACTGGTACAATGTCCCCCATCCGACCTCCGTTTGAACGTTTTGCTCGTTTGAGCAGGTGCAGCTGTGTAATCGGATCGCGATCATGCGAGATGTCAAAGCGTTGCACATAAGTGAGAAAACGATCCATCCATGACCAGCGTGTGCCGCTCTTACCAACAGGCCGCATGATGAGTCTGATCTGAGCAACAGTGTGACCTACAGGTGGGTAGTAGTTTAGGCTAGGATATGGGTAACACCACACAAGACAAAAACATACCTGAAAGTCGACCACTAGGCCATGAGGAACCTGCAGTAGTCTCAATGATAGCCGTGTCATAACGGCCTAGAATCCAGGGGTCACTAGGTGGAGCGCAATTCAATGTCTGAGCCGGTCTGATGGTGCAACCATCGTGAAAGTTCGTCTCTTGCAAACGGATTTTGTACCAGAGCGAAACTTTGTCAAATGGAAGGACAGTCATAGGCCCAGCCCTTCTTGGACCGCCTATCGCGTGGACATGCTGGGGTCCGTAAGTTGCCTCACGCTGAAGGAAGTCAGCGATAGCTGGCCGTAGATCTGGGAGGGAAAATTTGATGGCGACTTCATCGACGGAGATACTCCTGATGGAGGGATCATATCCGACATGAAAGGCAGTGCGCCCAATGGCAAATGAGCGTAATGGAATGGGCACTAAAGCCGCATCCCTGAACTGGAGTGCCCTAGCGATGGCAAAATAGTTTGTGACTGGACGACCTGGGTGTTGCTGTGTCGCGGAAAGTTCAATGGGAATATCTTGAGCGTCAACGTCAACATCAGCGTCAACGTCAGCGTCAACGTCAGCGTCAACGTCAGCGTCAACGTCAGCGTCAGCGTCTAAGTCCTCTGGCTCCTTCGTAGTCGAATCTAAAAGGCTGGTAGCGAGCTCAAAGCGACGACACTTTTCAGCGCGGTCCAGGTGTCGGCATATCTGGGGATCGTAGTTGTTGTTATTGCTGGCCCTTGCAGGGTCTTTGATTTCGCTGATATGTGCATGTTCCGTGACATCCGCAGACCATTGCATTGTGACGCCAGAGTTTCGAATGCTCGGAACAATGTTTTGCATTAGCTCCAACTTGGGTATATACCAGTTGGTGATGGGTCTATTGCCCTTCCCTCGGCGAGCTCCGGCGTCAATAATTGCATCCTTGTTGGCATGGAACTCATCCAATGCCCTTGAGATGCGCTCAAGATCGTCACCATTAATGCGCGGCGACTGCACGAGATAGCGGAACTGCATGAGTGCGCGTATGGCAGTGATTATACCAGGAGGTGCTGCGTCCGCGCATAGTGCAATGATATATCGTTGAATATCTCGTTGGCAGCGACCGGTGACTTGTTTGAGCCTTGAAATGCCTGCATGAAAGTGACGATAACCGGTGACGGGCTGCGAGATGGAAAACCGGAAATCGATCTCGGACTCTCCAACAATGCAAATGAGCCATTGTGCATCGTGATCCCAGAATTCCTTGTGAATGTGGTGGAGGTGTTCCGGTGTAAGAAAATGGGAGGGTTCCGCAAGTATCCAGTCCCGCCAGAATGGTTCAGCGACACCGTTTAGACGGAACTTCTGGGCTTCGCGGAAGAAAGCTTCAATATCAAGAGGATCAGCGCGCGAGCGCACAACAGCAAGCTGCGCAAGAGTTGTTGATTTCGTTCGGGGTTCATGCTGGAAGTCATCCCCGAACTGCTTGTACATCGCCATGGTCACTGGTGACGTCTTTCCACCAACAGTGGCCAGCATCATGGCTTCGGGGGTGTCGGCGATGTAACTCGCAAGCGGGGTGAAGCAATAACGGCTGTGTCCACTGGGGTCCAACAACATGATACCATTGCGAGCGGCCTGTTTCAGAGGTTCGAGGACAATATCTAGACATTGATGTATAAGGCGGTCCTCCAACACACCCTTCATCCGCTTCTTCTTATGCACGAACTTTGGGACCGGAAGTAGGGCAGTGAGAACAAAAGAGCTCGATGAAGACTTGAGTCGTGTACTGGCATGTATGTTTGCAAGGCTAATTAGAAGCGGATGAGCAATGCGATCGCCTGTTAATGCGGTGATGTTTGTCTTGTCGGAGGATAGGATGGTGCCGAGGAGGGTTGCGCCGCTAGGTATCGCCGACTTCAAATATAAATGAGCCGGAGACATCGAGATTCGACTTGCTACATACCTGCATGTCCCAGGCGTCATCGCCCGTCATCCATTCAGTGTATACACGAGACAGTCTCTCTGCAGTGGAGTACACCTTGCGAGGTGTCAAGTCCAAACGACCGTGAAATAAGGGGTGATTGAAGATGCTGGCGATGCACTCTATAGGGTCACGCCAATACAAAACCACGGGCGACTTTGTAGGGTGCGATGTTGGAATTATTTGGGACATCCAACGTGGACCGCTGGGGAGCATCTCAGCTCGACCCCATAATTCTCTGGCTGAGCAGAACGACAACGGTAAATCTTTGATCTAAAAATCCCGAAAGTCAAGGGATGGCAGCGAGTTTGAAAGGTTCGAACACTCACCATTTCAAGCGATAGGAAGGAATCAATCTTCCCCATGCTCAGGCCTGAACTAAGCAGCCACGCTGCAACTCGCCAATCTGCCCGACTGCTAAATGGATAGTAAAGGTTGGTTTTGCGATATATACTATTTTTGTCAGTCTCAAATAGGCTCAAAAAGGTGTAGCCATCCTCATAGGCGAGCGGGGGGTCGGGAAAGTAGTCGGTAACTTCACCGCCCTCGTCCTGAGTTCCACTGTGCGCTCCCGCGATATTCACTTCTTCACCACTAATGTCACCAAAGTCATCCAGCATTGTCTCGCTTCCGAATTCTGGTTCTTGAGAAACACGAGGTTCGACATCTGCTGAGTGCGTGAAATCATGCGGCGGGATGATGGAGTCAAGCTTGATAATATCTTCCAGCCAGGTATTGCATCCAGACCGAGGTTGGCTCATATGACGAGCAATAGATGTGTGGTCCTGAAAGGCTTTTCCACATGACGGACAGTGATACATGAGAGCGAGCAGCAAGACATATGCTAGTATGATGTAAGTAAGCTTTCAATCTTCCGGCATTTTCCGTACTGACCTCTCCAACGCACACCACCCCACACTACATAATGAACATAACAAATCTGCAATCTCTGTCAGCACGCGCATCAGGGATTGGCGAAAAATCCCCTGATCCACATCATCGCAAAGGACCGTCGGACCTATATGAAATTCTTCATATTGTAAATTCTATGGTGATGTCAATCTCGACGCTCACCCCTTCACAATGCGCCTTACCTTTCAACAGTCCATACAGGACCCAACTGCCTCTGAGGCCAATCTTGTGATGGATCTTGTGAGGGCCAAACACGACGTTTATCAAGCACAGAAGCCATTGGCGGATTGTGTAATGCGGGAGAATGAGATGTTGGCAAGCCTGCTGAGATTCCGTGCCGAAGAGGCGGAGAAGAGGTTGGACGACACAGATATGGGATTGGGGTGCATGAGAGTTATGTTCAAGGAAAACGGGTGGACTCATATTTCTTCTTTGACTCGAACACCTGGAAGTCATCTGCAACCCGGTAAGCTCACGAGACGAGACGACGCGGTGTCATGAGGAGGCTGATCCTATCTCAGTAGAAGTTACAGAGTGCGGCCGGCAACTCACCATCCAGCTTGATTGATCCGAGTGCTTCGAATTCTTTTCGCATCATTACAATATTCAACTTCGAATCGTTTATACTATGCGTCATTTTCCCTCACATGAATACACCAGTACATAGTATATGTTGTACTATACCCCTTATGAATGAGTTTGACAGTCAGTATCTCAGAGACCGTTCTTAAGTTTTTGCCGTGCCATGCTATTTTAAGTTCAATCATCGAGCTCGAGACTACTCAAGTCAAATGTGTATCTTACTAGTGTAGACTTTAAGGTGATACCACTACTAATAGATTTTCAACTGCAAGTTGCTGCGAAGTCTCGCAGCTGTACTGTGGAACTGTGAGTGACTGGAGACAATGCATGCTTTGTGGCCACGAGTTGCTGTGATATTGGCGGAGCTGTGGAGTCTGTGGCTGACTGTCGTGAGAACGCAAATCCTGTACCTTCTGTGGAGAAAGTTGTAGTTTGCTGATGTAGTGGCAACATGTAGCGTTTACCTATTGGTTTTTTTTTTTTTTTTTTTTTTTTGAATCGAATTACTGTCCATTTGGGGTATATACCCTATGTAGGACATTCTATCTAGGTGAGGGGACACCTGTGTCCCCTCCGCTTCTTTTTCTCTGCGAATGCCCCATTGTGAGTTTCCCCCAATGGTCCGCCGTTCCTGCCGGCCGTTTTAGACGCACGAGAATGCTAAGTAGGCGTTACCCGACTAATACGTTTCGTGGTATTGTATGCTTTTCGTGTGGTTTGGATGAAACAAGTACGTGATGCGTACGGGGAAAGAATGATTGGAGAGCGTTAAATGAGTAGTGGGATCTGGAACTTGAGGGCGGACTCTTGCGCTGTGCCGCCGTCGACTTGTCTATTCCGGTTCTCTCTATAATTTCCGACTTGTCTCCGATCTTGTGTGTCTTTCTGCCGTGATAAATAGTATATTATTTGCGGATTGTATTTTGATTGAGTTGATTTAATGTATAATGCTGCGAGGATTGTCATTGCGTGTTTTTCTTTGGAGGGGGGATACATCACCGAATATGGCTTTGAAGCGACCAGTATTGTTGATGAAACGAAAGAGGTGCGTGCTAGCGTGGCTGTTGGATAGGAGGTATGGGAGTGAGGATGCTTTCCGTCGAAGTGCGTTTCGTAGGACTTGTCGCTCATGTTCGTAATGGGGGCATGCGAGGACATAGTGTTCTACTGTTTCTGGTACATTAGCGCAATGCGGGCAGTCTGGGTTTGCGTGTTTGCCGATCTTGTGGAGGTGTGCGTTGAGTGAGATATGACGGGTGCGTAGCCATAGCAGTAAGGAGGCGTGACGCTTGGGTAAACCTTTGACCAATTTGATGAACGATCCTGAGAGAAGGTTGGGGTCGATTGCTGCCGCTCTTTGATATCTGGGCGACTTGGCCCATATTCTTGCCCATTGTGCGGCTGACTCCGTTCTTTGCGCTTGTTTCAGTGCTGAAATACTACATGGGAGAGAGTTCTTTCGGAGGAATGGAGGGAGTTTATTGTGGTTGCTGGTGTCTCTCTTGTCTTTTGCTGCCCTCTTAGCTTCCTTGTCTGCTTCTTCATTCCCTGGCACCCCGTCATGGCCTGATATCCAATGTAGCGTTACTTTGAAGTCCGGGTCTCTGTTCGTTCGTTTCGCTCTGGATATTAATCTACGAAAGTGGTCGATCAGGTAGTGGCCTGGCTTAGTCGAGAAAAGTTCACCTGATCTTAGCGCCGCTTGGTTGTCGATGAAAATCGCTATAGGGTATGTCACGTCTCTCTCCGTCGCTAGTAGTTGGGCTGCTAAGGTGAGTCCGACTAATTCCGCCTCATATACTGTATGTTCTTCCTTAAATCCTAAGTGGTACCTCAGGACCCGGTTGTGCGGGCATCCTTGTCTTATTAATACGGCTGATGCGCCTATCTGCTCCTCGATTCCCGAACCATCTGCGTAGATCTTGATCTCGCTCATGTTTGCGTCGTGTTCAGTTATTGCTTCCTCTCGTGTTGCCGCAATCGAAATGGAGTATGGTGGGACGGTATTGGGGGCTCGGCGCATGTGGACTGTGGTCTCGACCGAGTCTATGTCCAGTTCCGTTGCGTGGATGAGATGGTGGAGCGAAGATTGGTGTCGCTTTACTAAACACTTGGCTGCTTTGCGGGTTGGGAGATATAGAGGGTGAGTGGGCGGGTGAGCTGCGAGGTGTATGGCTGCTTGGTAACATAGGTTTTGCAGGCGATGTTGAAGGGGCATGAGTTTGGTGTGAGCTTCGAGGGTGTCTAAGGCCGTCGTCCGCATTGCCCCTGTGATATTGATTGCCGTGGTACGTTGAATTCAACTTAATCGTTTCGCGATGCCTATGGAGCCGTGTCTGGGGTTATCGGAGCTTCCAGAGTAGATTGGGCGGAACCACAGGTCTATAGCATAGAGCATTTTGGGTAGAGCGACTGCTAAATATAATTGGCGCATGAGTGATAGTGATATTTCTGACGAGGAGTTAGAGAGTCGACGTAGCTGCATTACGTAAGCTGTTCCCTTAGCTATGGCGAAGGCTATGTGCTCCTTCCATCTGAGCGCCTGGTCTAGAATCACGCCTAAGAATCGGTGCGTTGGTGAGGGATTGATCGTTATTCCTCTTGTTATCAACGGTGGACGTTCTTTGATGTTATTCATTGAAAAATCTACTAACGCAAACTTTGAGGCCTCGAATTTAGAGTTGTGAGTACTTGCCCAAGCGTATCCCCCTTCCGGTCTTTCTAACATGTTCTTTAGTACGTGGTGGGTCTCTTGAAATGTTCTCCCGATTGCTAGAAAGGCTGTGTCGTCCACAAACGCCAGAGTGCGTTCAGTCTTCTCTCGATTAGATGCTACATCAACTAAGTCAGAGTTATATATCACATATAAAATCATAGATAAAGGGTCTCCTTGACCTATCCCGTTCGTTATGGGAATCCATTCGGATAAATAGCCGTCAAACTTCAATTTGGTGCGTCTTCCTATCAATAGGCGTTCGGTGAAGGTTACTAATGATTCTGGTAGTTTCCGCGCGCGCATGTTGTGTAGTAATCGATCGGTTACCGCGTTTGGGAAAGCCCCTTCGATGTCGAGGAAAAGCGCTGAAACTACTTTACCCTGTCTCCACGCGTCTTTCACAGTTGCTTCCAGTAGGTGCAATGAGTCTGTTGTAGACCGCCCCGGTCTACCTCCGAAATGGGTGCTTGGGAGGAGGTTGTGGTGCTCTAGTAGGTAGGTTAGTTCATCTGCCACTACCACTGTTAATAGCTTGCAGGTAGTGTTGAGCAACGCTATCGGGCGGAAGGCTTTCGTTACCGTGTAGTCCGGTTTACCCGGCTTGCGTAATACTATTGTTATAAATTCTCTCCAAGGGTCATAGTAGGTCTTCAGCGTGAATACCGCTCTAAATATCTGTAGTAAGTGAGGGGTTAGTAACTTGGCGCATCGGATGAAAACCACGTTGCATATGCCATCTGGCCCTGGTGCCTTGAATGGACTGAGTTTCGATATGCTTCGTTTGATCTGGTCTTCGGTAATTGGGGCTGGCGTAGGGACGGCTGTTGGATATACGAAGTCAGCGGGTACAGAGGAGTGGAGTGGGGGCGGGGGAAAGAAGGCCTGAGCTAGCGCTATACTTTTCTCTTCATTTGTGTCCGCTGTTCCATTGCGTTGTTTAAGCGTTGGGATGCGTGATAATCCTCCATCGCTTGCTGCTGATGTTATGTATTTGTTTGCGATCCAGATGTCGTTGCCCGACATGTCGTTTAACCATTCGGTCCAATGGTGCTTTTTCGCTTGCTTGATCGCCTCCGAATATTGGTTCCTCTTGATTCGATGTTCTTCATGGCTGGCGTGGTGCGGGATTCCTCTCGTTCTATAGGATAGGTTAGCTAATTTCGCTACTTCGCGGCGCATTAGAGTGAGTTCTCTCGACCACCATCTCTTGGAATGAGGGTTTGGGCGTGAGCGAGGGACTTTCTCGATGATGACCCTCTGGATGGTGTTTGTGAGGTCTCTTGCGGCCCTTTGAAATTCGTCGTTAGTAACCAGCGGCTGAACCGGGGGGAGCTTAGCTAATTCCGTCTCGAGGAGTTTATTAAACGCTTCCCAGTCGACTTCCTTAAAATTTGAGACCGGTTCTACGTCCACTCGCGGGATTTCGAGTTCGAGTATGCTGATTATTGGTACGTGGTCGGTTGCTGGACCGCGTAACGCGGGGTTGGTGTTACATGTTATAAAATAAGGTTCAGTATGTTCAGTGCAAAAGACATTATCCGGTCTTGTCCAATTCTTGGTGGCGGTTGATTGCAACGTTGGTATCCCTTTTGGCAGCATCATTATCAGTCCATAGTCGGAAATGAGGTCTAATAATGGTTGTGCGGCGTTGAGGTATTGCGCCGTGAAGAGGTGGGTGTTTCTATCTTCGTCCCATAATGGGTGGTGCCTATTAAAGTCCCCTAGCCAGAGTACGTGGTCGTCATCTGTTGGTCGTAAGTGTGCCATGTTAGTTTCGAAGAATGTCGTGAGTCGGTCTTGTGTCGTTGTGGTGTTACAATCATTGTATATGTTAATTATGGTACATCGGCCGAAGTTGCCGCGAATTTGGATTATGACCACGTCTGGCGATGGGAAAGGGATTTGTTGCCAGGCGTTAGTGTTGATAGATTTGTTTACTAGTGTGACAGCTCTTGATCTTGAATCTGGGGATGAGTATCTGGTTGATGGGTATACTGCGTGGAAATAGGGTGAAGAGATTGTGTTTTTCGTAGCGTTGATATGCGGTTCCTGTAATGTGAGTAGATCCCAGTTTTGAGCTATTGGGCCGTTTAGTAAAGAGTGTTGCGCTATTGCTGAGGTGTTCATATTTTGTTGCCATATACATCAGTAAACTACAATGTTCTGTACAGAGCTGTACAGAGCTGTACAGCATGCAAGCTCCACAGCTTGGTCCCTGCTGGACAGCTCACTACAGCTCCACACAGTACTACATATCCT